ACATCTCAAATTTATTATTGCATGATAAGCGGAAAGAAAATCATGACCTAGAATTCCATGAGCTGGCACAGGAAAATCATCTGCGACGATATGAAACGGATATGTAAATGTAATTCCATTTACTTGAATTTTGCCTATTGCTACCCCAAGTGTCGTGACAAGATTTTCGTTAGGTAACACCTTTTAACAAATTTTTTTGATTAGTGTTTACAAGAGCATCATCATTAACCTCGCATAATCTTAAAATTGAAATTTCCGAACCAGAGTCAAGTAACAAATTTGCTGATTCACCGTTATATGACAATTGCAATGGTAATTGCACGCTAAGCAGATTGGGATTTTTCAATGATGTAGTGAAAACTTTAGAATCATTATTTTTTGAACTATGAGATATTTGAAATTGTTTATCTAGGCACACTTTAAGATGCGCTCTTCTTCGCAGGCTGCTTCAATTGCGGCAGTAAGATCATCAAACCTACTCGCTTTAATTACAAATTTTAAAGAAGGGACTAACCCTTCGACAAAAGCTTTTAGAGCCGATTTTTTGTTTAAATTTTTAATAATAGGTGCTGCTGCCTCACCTTCACTTCGTACACATGCATCGGTTAAATCCTGACATAAACGTTCAATTTTGTTAGCAAAAGACCTAACATCTTCATTTTGTTTTTGACGTGTACTTAATAATTCCAGCTGAATTTGAGCTATTGTTCTTGTTTCTAAAAACTGATTTTGAATTGCTGGTTTCAAAATTTCCCAGTTATCAAACTCGCCATATTTAACAATTTCATAAGCTAATCCTGATAATTTTGTTTTTACAACACTTAGGAAACTATCTTTTTCTGCACGCGTCGTTGCTGTATTATTATATACAACTTAGAAATTTATGCAACTCTCGACGTTCGCCACTAAATTCGGGAATCATTTTTAACGCTATCTCGATTTGAAAAGGCATGATTTCGTCAAATAAATACTTCAAGTCTACAAGAAATTGATCATTCATAAAAAATTCGAACTTACAATGTATAGCGATAGAAGAATCCTGTGATTTGATGTGTTAACGCAATATACACGCACTTTGCTCTGCTTTTTTTCACACACTCACTCACTACAATCCAACGACGTAGAATTTCTTGATTTCCTTCCGGGACTAGATTCGAAAATGTGTATCACAACCACCAACGCTCTCTTCTGAGGACCAGAGACCACAAACTCTCCTTGGAAGACCAAAGACCACTCGCTTTCTTTGAAGGACCAGAGACTTACTTACGCAATCTCTTCAGGACCAGAGACTTCAAGCACTCTCTTCAAGAAACGGAGACTTAAGGCAATCTTTTCAAGAAACGGAGACTTAAGGCAATCTCTTCAAGAACCTCTTTCTTCAACGAAAACCCCACACACCAGACACCACTTTTATGTTGTGAAGGGGTTGTGACTTAGACACATATATTTCGATTTCCCGTTTATTTCACTGCCCACATAACAAAACTTACAAGACAACTTTATACATGGCCATAATCACATGGCAACTTCTTCTCTACCTTACACACACTCTCTCCCTTGTCTCTTCGTTGACTCCTCTATTTATCACTTCCTCGTAACGAGGGCAACTGACCATATTCTTACAAAATACAGAGGAGTCAGCGATTACAAAACATTTGGACAAGCAACCTAATTTAATATAGCTAACAAAACTATGGCGAAATGAAATTATAATGCAACAATAATGCAACAATAACCTACTTTACTTTACAACAACATGGTGCTCGCTGATGTAGGAGAATTTTTAACCATAATTACTTCTGGTCATTTGGATTTGGCATCAATAAGAATTAGAAAATAATGGTTGTAAAATGGGCCTGCATAATCCATGTGTACAATTTGCCAATTCTTTTCTGGACGTTACAAAATAGTAACTATCGTGTTTCTGAGTGAATTAATAGTGATATAGCCCATATATACAATTTACTGTAAATACGGTATTACGTGCATTTCAGACACAAAGCAAGTTCAAAATGATAATAGCAACTTTACACATTTACTATAGGTGCTAATATAAAATGACTGTATAAGTTTCTAGAAAGTTTTCTCTATTAGATGTGGTAAGTATTGCCAGTGGCGACCAACAGCTTATGATAAAATTTTTAGTAAGCATTTTGTTGGAAACCACGTAAGCAATCAGTCTCACAGTCCACAATTTTTCAAAAAGTAAGTTTCAAGTTTATTTTGATTTCCATAACAATTATGGCAGCAACTTTAAAACAAAAACGTAGTATGTTTTCCCTTTTTAAGAAGAGATATATCGTTTTTCAAACAAATGGTTTAGGAGAGAAAAACCTTCAGAAGAAAGTCAAAAATTGATTTTGATATTAACCTATCCTCCCCAACACCTCAGACTTATGATTTTGCTTGCCAAAAATAAACATTGAAGGCTTTTCAGACTCTAGTGGTTTTGTATTACATTTTCTGCCGTTTCGTTAAATAATGTCGCTGTGGTACTTTTAGGTTGGTTGAAAATGGGAGATCACTTTTTCGGACTCTAGTGGTCATGACTTGTGAGAAATCATCAAAACAGAAGTCGCCCGAAGGGCTGGATTACAACAAAAATGCACAAGAAAGTTAAAGGAGTTGTTGTAACCAATATCTAACTTAATTTTTTTTAACTCACAGCCTGTAAATAGGAAAATGCCTTCTTTTAGGATTATAAGTGGAAGTTAATATGATGCACGTGGAATTTCAAGTACAAGGTCAATATAAGTCAACACAAAGTCCGCGGTTGTACTCGGTTGCGGCAAGGTGGAAGGGGCGAAACGAATTTATAAACTGTTATTTAAAAATACACTTTTTGCGCTTGACGTTATTTGCAAATAACTAACTTCTGTATTTTTCCGTTCTTTATTCTAGTAACATAATTTTAAAGCAAAATAAGTTTCTATTGTATTTAAATGATAAAAACGTTGCAAGGGAAGTTAATGGAGTTGTGACGAATATTTAATTTCATGTATATTTAACGTTTCGCAGCTTGAAACGTAGGAACATGTCTTCGTTTAGGATTATTAGTCTAACGCAATTCTAATAGTACATTCTAGCGACCCTCTATATATTTCTATACTGCCGCGCAAGGTTAAACAGCTTCATTTTTAAACATTTTGTGATAAAACTAACCTCAAGTTTCACATTTTGTCTACTATTGTGACAAAATCAACTACGGCAAAGTCGTTTAATAGTGGTCGCAGTACTAACACCAAACGTCAGAATTAGCGGTACAGATCGTACAGATTAAAGGCATCAGCGGATCGGTCACACCAACTCAAAATTACAAGTTACTAAAAATTCCCAAGTAATACCAACCTCATTTTGACGTCACATGGGGCCATATATCTAACAGTACTATATTGCTAACTGGCCTCAAAAGAGTTCGAAAACATAACGGCAGAGCAATATATCGGACCTCTCTGTCTCTCTGTGGTACTAAACAGTACTGCGCACACTCGTACTTGCTTGATTTGTAGTCGATAGCGTGATTGGATGCGTTTTGACATTTCGTACTTTCGTTTCTATTTTGTGTACATGCGCACAGACCCTCGGTACTCTTATAGACAGAAAACAACATCTTCTTTCTTTCTCTGTCCATGAACACCGTTTCTATGTTACTTCTGAAGAGTTAGCAATATAGTAGTATTAGATATATGCATGGGGCTGACACCTCTCCTCCCCCGTAAGCGATTTTACCCACATACTCGTTTATGTGGTAACCTGTTCTCTATTAACTAACCTTGAACTACGGCTTTTGGTGACTTAACTGATCGGATGACACTGATGCCGTTAATCGTTTAGTGAAAAACAAGAAATATAAAAACCCTGTGTACTTCAAGTGAAATTATCAAATATCTTACACCTTGTGTATTAGCGCGCAACAAGATAATTTTTCTCGAATGTTCACAATGAATATTCGGAATAATGTTGATTATTCAGTACCTATATGAATGAATTTATATGAAATCACCTTGAAATATTAAGGAAGTTCAAGCAGCGAACCAATGCGTCTGCACATTCTTACAACACCGCACGAAGTAATATTCAGTTACTTTGTTACTGTAGAATTTTTTGTAATTTGTTAACTGTACTTAAAATGTTCGTCTTGAGTTAGATTATAATTTCATACAAAAGCCTTAAGTTTTCACAAACTGGTGTAATTCGGAAACACTTGTTTGTTTTTTCTTTTACTTTGTATTGCAGATTTCAGTTAATATGTGTCGATACACGGTTTCTATAAATAATTATAGAGTCGAAGTATGACATCAACACGTGCCGCCTCTCAGTTTGGAACTTATCAAATGCCCAAAGGCGCACGACAAATGCCACACAACATTTTGTTTAAGGCGCGTGTTCACTCGCCTTTTAATTTCAAAAATGTTCTGTAATTTATAAGTTAATGCGTAATCTGTATTTATGTACAGTTAGTTGCATATTAAGTAAATCATAAATACCTGTTTTTAGTGGTTTTAGGTTGGAAATTTTTATTTAGAAATTGCAAATGAAAAAATTCATAAATTAATTATATAAACCACGGGAGAGAAGACTTTTCGAGCCCTCGCTTTCTAATAATTCAGCTCGGGTCGGAAAATTGTCTTTTTTGCCTTGATATATAATTACTATTACGCTATCGGTGGTAGAGGAATTATATTTAATTTATTTTAATTTTAATTGGGTTCAAGTATCGAATAAACTGAGACAATAGAATTGACCCACTTAAAAAAATTGAATTCATTGGGGCGCTACGCACCCTTATGGTTGAAACATTTTTTGCTTGGCTAACTTCAATTAATTAATTAATGCAAATCAGCAAGTAAATAATTCAAGTACTTGTTGTTTCATATTGTTCTACGCAGGTATAAATTCCATTGTGTCATAAACCATAATGTGTTTAAATTCCATATCACTTCCGTTATGCACTTTATAAATATAGACATTTCACATATTTTTACATACATCAAGTCGTATTCCGCGAGATAAGTTACATGTTTGTGTCGCTTTATTTTTAAGTGGAAAATGAAATCTAATGAACCTAGAGACAATGAATCAAGGGATCTTAATTTTCAATATGGTCGTTGGTTATCATCTCCACCACCGGGTGAAGAAGTGGTAATATCCGGGATATCTGGTCGTTTTCCAGAATCGCAAAATATTTATGAATTTCGTGATAATCTATTTAACAAAAAGCAGATGGTTACGGAAAACGAAAAAAGATGGAAAGCTGGTCTTGCTAATATACCGAAAAGGAGTGGTCACATTGACAATATTAACAAATTTGATGCTGGGTATTTTGGACTACATTACCGTCAAGGCAATGTTATGGACCCTGCTGTGAGAGTTGTTTTGGAAACGGCTACTGAAGCTATTATGGATGCTGGAATAAACCCATCAGAGCTAAAAGGAAGTAAGACTGGGGTATTTTTGGGCCTTTCTTGGTCGGACGCTGAAAATCCGATTCTAACAAATCTAAAGGAACCACAGAGGTTTGGCGTGACCGGGTAAGCAAATGTTATAAGTAAACTTCAAAACTGAAAAAGTAAAGTTAAGTCAAAGTAAAATCAACATTTGCAACAATGAATTAAAAAATATAAATTAATAAAAACATTTTTATTAATTGTAATAATGTATATTACTTTAAGGTGTCTTAGATCGATATGTGCTCGTCGTCTTAGTTATCACCTGAAACTAAAAGGACCGTCATTCACAATTGACACTGCTTGTAGCAGTTCTGGAAATGCTCTTCATTCAGCATTTTTAGCAATGAGAAACGGTGATTGCGAAAATGCTATAGTTGGTGGCTGTAACTTAACTCTTCATCCTGGATCTACAATGCAGTTTTATGGGTACGTACGAATAAGATCATTTTTTTACCACACTTTTCTTAAGAAATTATTTATTAAGAGAATGAGATATGTATAAAACACAGTTTCAGCTCAGACAGCCAAAGGTGAACGCTAGAATAATTAAAAAATTAGACTATAACCAATACATGTCAGCATATCCTATCAGAACGTTCGTGATTTCAGTTCTAAAACTCACACGTGGTTTTTTTAACTGTTCTGACATATCTTTTAATACATGTACAGGGTTTCTATAAATGATTATAGGGTCGTAGTAAATGCCCAAGGACGCATGAAACAGACCACACGCATTTGTATAACTGGTTGCCTAAGTCCTTGTTTTCTTTTTAAAAAATAAAACAAATTTATTGCAGTTAAACATCACAGTAAAAGTGTTCACAATTTTGTTCAAGGCACATATTCACTCTCTTTTTAATTTCAAAAATGTTTTGTAATCCTTTCGTCAATGCCCATTGTTCAGTGTCATGTTGCAACAGAAACTCCTGACTGCTGAGGAAATTTTGCAAAAATGTTTGCGGATTATGCTCAAGTCGTCTTAAATCAGCAACAACTTCCTCAGATATTGAAGGTCTTCCACGTGATTTCTCTTTCTTGGCACTTCCAGTTCGAACAAATCATGGTATTTGGCCAGATATTCTTGCTTACAAGCGGTTACAGAATACAGGAACTCTTCGTTTACGAAGTTCCATTGCGATAACATGAAATGTCTTGTCCAACAGAATAAACCATTTTCAGTCTTCGGTTCCTAGCACAAAAACAAAATTTTCTGTTTTGTTGTTTTGGTCTTGGGTCAACGAGAATTACTTTTGAACTGCTTGAAACACGTTAAAATAATAAAAACGACGACTTTAAATGATAGGTTACAAATGATATTAATGACAAGTGAGAACTGTCATAGAGGCATAATTTCCGCGAAGCAGGATTTTTGAAACTACTACCTTAGAATTATTTATCAAAGCCCTCTATATATACACCCTGATTTCGAAATGTGTGCAATAAAAAAATGGGGAAGTAAGATTTATTTAAGTGACACTCTTTAAATTTCGTAGAAAAGCTGATTAAATTATTGCTGACATATCTACCCAGATGAATACAAATCACATTTTCTAAACTCAAAATTTTTGCGGCATGGTGCGAGAGAATTTCTGTCAAAACAACTTCCGTCCAAATTTTTTAATTTAGTTTACTACTGTTAATTGCTGTTCTGTAACTGGGAAACTGACAATAAAGCGTACTGTTACTATTCATTCTTCGGATTGATAAAGTGTTAAACTTGTGTTATCTCTTACCCTTTTTGGAAGTAAGTTAGATATTACTGCATTAAAAAAAATGTATGCCTTTTATACATTCTGAATGATAGTTTGGAAGAGTGTTACATACAAATGAATCACACGAGAAAATTATTCGTAACAATATTTTTACCTGATCTATTACTATAGTACTATTACCTCAATATATTTTAGCTCGTCGCTGTTGAGTTATGACGGCGTATGTAAAATCTTCGATGAGGAAGCTAACGGCTACGTTCGAAGCGAGGCCTGCATTTGCCTCTTCCTTCAAAAGTCTAAAACCGCGAAACGAATTTACGCACAAATTATTAACGTGAAAGGAAATTGCGACGGTTTTACAGACGAAGGGATAACGTATCCTTCGTCGCAAATGCAAGAAGAGCTTTTGGCTGAAATATATCACGAAAGTAACATTAGTTTTTCAAAACTGAGATACTTCGAAGCACATTGCACTGGCACTAAAGCTGGTGATCCTGAAGAAGTGAACGCTATAGACGGTGCTCTGGCGAAAAAATGCGAACAACAGCTTCTCATAGGCTCAGTAAAATCAAACATGGGTCATACAGAACCCGCATCGGGTCTCTGTTCAGTCATAAAAGTACTTATCGCAATGGAAACCGGCTTTATACCACCTAATATTAACTTGAAAAGACTTCGAAAAGGGCTGGAAGGGATTGAACAAAAGCGAATGAAAGTTGTGACAGAAGCTACTGAGCTTTTAGGAGAGGACACAATTGTAGGTGTTAATAACTTTGGTTTCGGGGGTAGCAACACTCATGTTATCTTGCAAAGGTTTAAAAAACGCAAAATCAATGGTGGAATGCCAAAAGATGATGTTCCTAGATTAATTTGTGTCAGTGGTCGCACTGAAGAAGCAGTTTTGACTATTTTAAACGACGTTAGCAGCAATGTTTTGGATACAGAATATGTTGGTCTCCTCCATGAATTATATAAGAAGAATATTCCAAATCACTTATGTCGAGGATATGCAATAGTTTCCAAAACTGGTGTTCTATCTACGTCTTCAAAACGTTTGCCTTTTAAGCCACCACGCTTGCATATATTTTTTGGAAAATTTGTCAAAAATTTTAAATTACTAGGATCTTATATACTGCAATTTTTAGCTTTCAGAGACGTCGTAACAAGGTAAGTGTAGATATCTTTAGAGGTTGTTAACTAAGACACTGTTTACATTTTTGTTTCAAGACTTAATAAAATCCTGGTGGCCAATAACGCAAAAACACTTGAAGAAATGTTAGATTCGAAAACAAAAACAGATGAAAATGTTTTAGGTTCAATGTGTTTGCAATTAATTGTAGTGGATATTTTCAAAGAATTAGAATTGTTTCCTACTAGTGTTTCCGGTGATGCATTTGGCACAATTGTTTGTTCTTATTGCAATAAAATTATTCAACTGGAAGAGGCAGTATTAGACGCGATAAAACTTAGTAATCTAAAATTTGACTCGAACATGAATTTCCCAACACTGCAAAACTTAATTTATTCTAAAAATTATAATAATGTACCTAGAAGCACGATAACATTAAATATTTCCGACCTACCTACCACAGATGAAGATAACTTACTAGTCAGAAACGGTAATGTGAATTTCCTGGATGTAATAGGAAGGTAAAATTTCGAAACACTGATACGTGGATACCATATAGAGGATTTGTAGATTATATGTTGAAGGTTATCTTCCTCAACTTCAAAAAATATTCCCTCAAGTGGAATTCCCTGTAAGTAGAAGCACCTCCATGATTGCACCCTTTATTCAATGGGATCACAAAAAATCCTGGCAGACATACGAATTTAAAGGATTTACATCAACTGAAAACGAACAGATGGAGTACAATATTTCATACTTATACGAAGAATATCAGTTTATGAAAGGTCACGTTATCGACGGTAAGTTTAGATAAAACTTATTTTCTTAATTTAAAAAAAAAATAAATTCCAGGACGCAATCTTTTCCCCGCTACTGAATATTTAAAACTGGCTTGGCAAACCTTTGCCGACTCTCGAAATCAAACAACTGATTCTTTGCCTGTACAATTCGAAAACTGTAGGTTTATAAGGGCTGCTACAATGCCTAACACTGGTTACATAAAACTTCTCGTAATGCTGCAAAGAGGTACGGGGAATTTTGAAATTCTCGAAAAAGATTCTTTGCTGGTTAGTGGGCGTATCACCACTTGTTCGAGTTCAGATCGGCAACAAATAAGTCTTTCGTCTGGTGCTACTTTGGGAGACGATAAATTGAAGACGTTGCAACAAGATGAAATTTATCGAGAATTTCACTTACGGGGTTATAATTACAGGTCAGTGGTTTTTAGTAAAACACAGATTTTTGAAATTCTTTTGTAGCGGTTTGTTCAAAGCTATAAAAACATATAATGTGGATGCTTCTTTGGGTTTAATCAAGTGGGACGATAACTGGGGTACCTTTATGGATAATATGCTTCAACTTCAAATCCTTCAAACAGATACGAGACTGCTTTACGTTCCCGTTGGTATTAAGAAGCTTATCATTGATCCCATTAAACATAAACAAATAGTCGAAAGACAAAATGGACAAGAGTGTTTTCTGTCTGCATATATTAACAAAGACTCTAATATTATTGAGTAAATAAGGTAATCAGTAATATACAGTTAAGGTAAAGTGTTAATTTATTTAGATCTGGTGGAGTTGAAATACATGGACTTCACGTTAAGTCCATCTTTAGGAAAAGAGCAAGATTGGAGCCAGTTTTGGAAAAACACGTTTTCGTTCCAAATAGTACGAGTTTAGACTTGGAACAAGCTGTGAGAATCAATACACAAATTATCTTAGAAAATAGTTTAGAGTATCGTTTTAAAGCTGTGGAAATTGTTGACGAATTTACTGATATCAATTCTGAACATATCTTGTGTTTAGTCAATAAAGCCTTAGAAGATGTTGCGCTAGTCACTCCCGATCTTACCGTTTCGACAAAAGCATCAAACTCTGATATACCTGGCATAAAATTCGAAATGGTTACTTTAACACCAGAAAGTGACATACTTTTGTACGTTGGCAGCAAAATTTTACAACAGTCACATACTTTAAAACAGTTTTTCATACCTCTTAGCAAAAACGGATTTATCTTAACACGGGAGGAGATAAACTTTAGACTAGAAAAAGATAAAGATGACGTAGAAATTCTCACAGACTATAAGACACCGAACGAAAGAATTATTTTGTTGAGAAGAAAACAGGAAGCTGTTAAGCCCAAACACGTTGAAATATCTTCGAGTAATTTTGATTGGATAACGGAACTCCAAAACGCGTTAAATTTCGAAAACAGTGTTATAGCTTATGGAACAAATCGAGAACCTGAAGGACTATTGGGTTTGATAAATTGCATCAGGCGAGAACCGAAAGGAAACCTACTTAAGTGTTTCTTAATAATGGACGATGCTCCGGAGTTTGATCCCCAACATTCATTTTATGCTAAACAAGTCAGTAAAAACATGGCTGTTAATATTTATAGGAATGGATCGTGGGGAACTTACAGACATCTCCGCCTGGAAGAAAGAGCCAAGGTTTACAGCGAACACTCGTACGCGTATTTCAAAAATAGAGGAGATATATCGAGTTTTGAATGGTTGGAAGGACCTTTAAAGAAAGACGTGCCGCTCGAAAAAGGACGAATTCTGGCTTTGGTAAGTTACACCGCGACATATAATCGATGTACAAAATTGACTCTATTCTCTAGTCTTATTATTCGTCAGTTAACTTTAAAGATATAATGGCTGCATCTGGTCGTGTAAATCTTGAAGTGTTTTCAACCCATCGAATTGTGCAAGAACTGTTGGTAGGATTTGAATTTTCAGGAAAGGATTTAAGGTTGGATTGTTTTCGCCTTTACATAACATGTTATCCAGTAGATTTTTAGAGGCCGTCGGATAGCTGGAATGACTGACAATCAAGGGATTTCCTCTCACGTTATTGTTGATCCTTACTTGGTGTGGCAAGTACCCGAATCTTGGACTCTCGAAGATGCAGCCACAGTTCCTGTTGTATACTCTACTGTTATATATGCCCTTTTAATGGTACGTTGGTAGATATAATACCTCAAAGATAATATTTTGTCTTACAGGTTGGAAATATGCAACCAGGTTGTTCAATTCTTATTCACTCTGCAACTGGTGGTATTGGATTGGCCACTTTGAACATTTGCTTACACTATAAATGCGAAATTTACGTAACAGTTGGAACTCAAGAAAAACGAGCCTACTTAAAAAAGCATTACCCTCAAATTCCAGACAGCCACATAGGAAACTCAAGAGACACTTCATTTGAGCAAATGATCAAAAGAGAAACTAAAGGTAGAGGAGTTGATTTTGTTCTGAATTCTTTGAGTGAGGATAAGCTGCAAGCTTCAGTTAAATGTTTAGCACGAAAGGGGCAGTTCTTGGAAATAGGCAAATACGATTTGGCCAATGATAGTTCTTTAAACCTCTTGTTTATTGAGAAAGACGCCTGTTATCATGGGATAGTAGTAGATAAACTTTTTGATCAAGTGCCCGAAATGAAGTGTAAAGTGGTAAACTGTCTACTGGAGGGAATTAAGGCCGGTTTTGTAAAACCTCTACCTAGGATTTTGTTTAATGCATCTGAAGTGGAAGATTCGTATAGATATATGATGACAGGTAAACATATTGGGAGGATTTTGATTAAACTTCGGAGTGAAGAAGGTAATAGAAACACTGACGTTGTCGATGAACTACAAATCAGTTCGAATCCACGGTAAGTTATCAGTTATCAGTAAAAATGGCAGAATTATGGAGTTTATGTGATCGTTATTAACGAATAATGCCAACGGTGCTCACACTTTTCTGCTACTAGTTGCGTTTCAAATCGATTGTGTACAACAAGGACAATTGCTCCTTTTGTATCGTACAGTTAGCCACTTGGAAGCTAATCGCCCCGACTGGAGGTTCAAGCGAACCTCTGTAGTGCCGGTTTTTTCCTCATTCTGTCCGTTCCGAGCTCTGGCAATGCCACTGCTTCATACCAAGTGTTATTAATCAACGTTTGTACCTTCTCACTAATCCGTCAAATCAAGCGTCAGAAACTGTGTTGTATCAATTGCTTTGCACAATACCTGGGGTTACTCACATTTGCTTATTCTTGTTGTTTTAAACCTTCCTAGTGTGAGAATCTTTGTGGTAGTGACAGTTAGTTTTAAGTATTGAATCATGAATACCACTTTTGATTGAAGGTTCAATTGTGACGTGCGTTACACATACGTCGTTATTGGTGGCCTAGGCGGAATTGGTTTAGAACTAAGTGACTGGTTAGTTCTAAGGGGTGCCAGAAAGTTAGTACTGTCTTCAAGGTCGGGACTTCAAAGTGGATACCATCAACAAAGGATAAAGTAAAAAATATGGTTCTAATAGATTGTGGTTTTAATTAGTTATTTCAGCATATGGCAATCTTACGGTGTCCAAGTTAAAGTTTGTACTAATGACGTGACAACTGAACAAAAATGTGAAGATTTAATTAAAGAGGCGAACGGATTGGGACAAATCGATGCCATTTTTAACTTGGGTGTTGTTCTTCAAGATGCACTATTCGAAGACCAGACGAAAGAAAAATTTCTAATTTCATTGATACCAAAAGCTAGAGCTACGGTAAATTTGGACAAAGTTAGTAGAAAATTATGTCCAAAATTAAGGTGGCCTCTCAACGTCATCACTTCAAATGATTTTATACGACAAATTTTAGATATTTTGTTGTGTTTTCTTCAGTTTCTTGTGGTCGCGGTAATGCGGGTCAGAGCAACTATGGAATGGCAAACTCTATTATGGAGAGAATATGTGAGAATCGAAAACGAGACGGGTTGCCTGCTGTAGCAATCCAGTGGGGAGCAATCGGTGATGTAACTACAAACTTTTTAAAATTTCTTTAAATTACACTTATTTTAAAGGTCGGTTTGGTAGCGAAAATGCAGAAAGAGAATAAAGAGTTAGTGATTGGGGGTACTCTACAACAAAAAATTTCAAGTTGTCTTGAAGTGTTAGATGTGTTGTTAAAACATGATTATCCGGTTGTTTCTAGTATGGTTGTTGCCGAAAAACACAACAAGGGCGACATTCTTAGTGCAGTAGATGCGGTTGCTCATGTTTTAGGAATACAAGACATGAAAACTATAAGCCAATATACGACTTTCGCAGAACTTGGTATGGATTCCATGGTTGGTACAGAAGTTATTCAACTCCTGGAAAAAGATTTTGAAATCTACGTAACGTCTAAAGATGTCCGAAGTTTAACATTTGCAAAGTAATATTGTTAATACGTGAAATATCCAGTCGCACATCTATGTTAAAACGTAATTATGTTGTTTCAGATTGACTGAAATGGAGGGAGAAAAGCTGAACAAAAATGATGATTCTACAAAAACACAGAAAGGGACCAACTCTCTCATTCTGTATATGCCTGATAAGGAAACTAGTCCTTTACCTACCGTTAAATTAGCAAGCCAAGTAGAATCATATGAAAAAGTTCCAGTAGTGTTTGTGTTACCAGGCGTCGAGGGAATCTTCACACCGTTAGAAGATTTGGCGCGTTCCTTGAAAGCTCGTGTCATAGGAATACAATATAGTTACAAATATCCCGAAAACAGTATTCAAGAAATTGTAGAAAATGCAATTTCGGTTTGTTTTAAATTCGTAATTGTTACGGTTGTTACAAAATTAAATCAATTTTTAGCACATTGAAAGTCACTTAACCAAAAATCTTCCATTTTTCGTCATCGGTTATTCATTTGGAGCAGCAGTTGGATTTGAACTTATTAGTTTATTGGAAAAGCGAGGTCATTTCGGCACAGTTATTCTGCTAGATGGGTCGCCAACATACTCAAGATCTGTTGTAAAAAAAATTGTCGGGAGTGACGACAATGTGGAATTTCAATTGGCAATTTTGAACAGAGTTTTTAGTACCGTAATTCCCTTCGACGTACTTTCAAAACATCAGGTAAATATTAGTACTCTTTTGTTGTTATCAGTTGTTACTATTTGTCTTTTAGGAGGAATTGTTAAAGGCCAAAGATTTTGATCAAAAAATGGATGTAGTTCTAGCTCTGATACCTTTAGAAACACCTAACAAAGAGAAGATAGAGAAACAAGCACTTGTTACACTATATAAACGTTTAAGAGCCATGATTAATTACACATTTAGAAATAATAAAGTCAAATCATTAGTCCACTTATTCAAGGCCAAATATCCCGTGGTTGAGGACGACCATGACTATCAATTATCAAAAATGTGTGAAAATGTAGGACAAGTGGTTACGATAGATGGCGATCATGTAACGATTTTAAATAATCTGGAGCTTGTTAAATGTGTGAATAACATTGTAACTTCGTAGATACACTATTCATTTGTTACTTTGTTATACAAATTTAATTTAGAAATTAAAGGCTATGGCATCGGTTGTTGTTTATTTTAAGTCGTCTGCTGTTAAACGTTTATCCATTATCTAGTGAGTAATCTACGTGTAATAAAAGTCTCCACTATGTATTGGAACGCATTGTCATACAGCCAAATAGGAGCAAAAAGTAGACTAATAAAATAAATAATTTTTGAGTATATCATTTTTGGATATTATGTGTCCATCAGATTCAATGTTTTCACCTTAATGAATCCTCGGTGCATCACGCCCTCTATAAGCAATCCTAAAAATATGAAGACAATGATCAATCGTAAGTATATATAAATTCATCACATTTTGCACATTTTAGATTTATTTGGCAAAGTTTTGAGCTGACGTCGTCCATGTTTTGGGGAGGGATAAGAACATATATTTTTATTAAAAGTTTACCATGCTTACGATAACTTTAAAACACCTGCAACATCTGTTGCTACTGTTTGTGAGTTTGATTGCATCGATTTGATAGACTCTAAATATTGATATGAATTTTAAAGTCCCTAATTTTCCAGTAAATGTGAAGTATACGGTATACAATTTTAAGAAGGCAAAGTTTACGGCGTTGTATAACGCCCTTTTAGAAATAGCTTGGTCAAGCTTACAGAATTTCACATATGTCAATGATGCTTGTTCTCATTTTTATTCAGTCTTGTACTCGTTGTTTGATGAATATGTTCCTATTTTTAAGACCCAAAAGTCTTCTCGAAAATATCCAAGCGGGTACAGCATTGAAATAGTTAAGAATATTAAGTTAAAGCATAAATACCTACAGCAATTCAAAAAAGCAGGTAACGTAGAGCAGCTGAATAAATGTAAACGCTTGCGTAATTAAATAAAGTCTCAAGTATTTCTTGCATACAAGTTATATCTTGACACAGCCCAGGTTAAGTTAAAAACTGATCCTAAATATTTTTGGAAATATGTCAGTGACAAAAAAAATGTAACAAGAATTCCAGCTGTTATGTACTATGACAATAATATTTACTCTACCCCAGAATCAATAGTTAACTGATTTGCTACATATTTTAGTAGTGTTTTTGGTACTAGCAATAATTCGACGGATCATATTGACACAGCTTCCTTTCTTAAGGCTAATTAATATAACGAATATTTCTGAATATGATATTAAAAATCCCATAAAAAAGATTGAAAAATAAATTAACCGCTGGTGACGATCAGATACCTAGTTTTTTTGTTAAAGATTGTTCTTCTTTGCTTGTTCAATCACTGAAGATATTATTTAATTTTTCTCTTTCGACTTCTACCTTTTCAGAGGTATGGAAAATAGCACGTGTGTGTCCTGTCCTAAAAGGTGGCGATGCATCTTTATTTGCTATTTATAGACTCATTTCTGTGCTCTCTAATCTTTCTAAAGTATTCGAAATGACTCTTTACTCACATATATATACTTCTTGTCGTCTTCATATCTCTAGTTTTCAACACGGATTCATGGAGCAACGTTCTACTCACTATAATCTTACTTGTTTTACAGAATATATTGCTGATGTCCTTGATGATCAGGGACAAGTGGACGTTATTTATACGGATTTTTCGAAGGCCTTCGACAAAATTGATCACACTACTATTTTAAATAAACTTGTTTTATTTGGATTTAACTGTCCCTTAGTGATTTGTTTTAAATCTTACTTAAACAGTAGATCTCAATATGTGACCTATAATGGATTCAAATCGCGATCCTACATATCGACATCGGGTGTTCCTCAGGGCTCCCACCTAGGTCCGTTATTATTCTTACTTTTTATCATTGATATTGTTAATATAACTGATTGTAGGAAGCTCTTATTTGCTGACGATTTAAAAATATTCACTACGATCTATACACAGGAGGATTGTCGTCATATGCAGAACAATGTCAATGAAATACATGCTTGGTGTGAGGTAAATAAACTCCCTTTTAACTATTCTAAATGCAAAATAATGTCATATTCAAAGAAAATAGATCCCATATTATTTGCGTACAGCTATAACTTTCTTCCACTTAATAGAACTTCAACAATAAAAGATCTTGGTATAACTTTTGATAACCAACTTAATTTTAACGATCATGTAAGTAGTATGATAAATGTGCCAATTAAGTGTTTGGAATTTATAATCAGGAACACCAGTACTTTTAAAAATCCATTAGTATTAAAAACTCTGTATTACTCTTACGTTATATATATATATAATTATTTTTTTGTGTAGCTGATAGAAACGACAGGTTGGCCCCTGAATTGTAGATCGAGGGCTTTCCAAATCGAGCTCATGGTACCCTCAAGCCTCAAACTCACGATCGTGGCCGTGATAGGACTGCAAGCTGAAGAACAAATTTTGGAACGCGTCGAAGAATAGCCCGACATCAACACTCGCCGACTTGCAGCTGAAGTTGAAGTTTCACTGTTTGTAGTGCATCGTACGTTAAAAAAATCACTTCAAACCTCTAGATAGGTCATTAAACTGCATGTTATTGTATTGAATTGAATGACTCGTTGCAGACTACAGTGTATTCAAATTAATTTTGGCTTCCGCTGCACAACTAATAAATATGTGGACATTTCATTAAAAAAATAATCGATTCTTTTTCTTCAGTCTGTGTTATAATTTAATTTGTCTACATTTTTACAGTTAGATTTTTAACATTCTTGATTTTGTAAACAAATTTGAAAAAAATGGTTTTATCTGATAATATAGAAAAGGAGTTGCTTAACCCGAATTATGAATATGGCCGTTGGCTCTCTTCTCCACTACCTGGCGAAGAAGTGGTCATATCAGGCATATCCGGGCGTTTTCCAGAATCGGAAAATGTTTACGAGTTTCGCGACAACCTATTTAACAAAAAGGACATGGTTACTGAGAACGAGAAACGATGGAAACTTAATCGTCCCGATATTCCGAACAGAAGCGGCAAGATTAATATTATTAATAAATTTGATGCTGGATACTTTGGACTACATTATCGTCAAGCTGATATTATGGATCCCGCTTTGAGGATTTTAATGGAAACGGTTACTGAAGCTGTCATGGATGGTGGAATAAACCCTGTGGAACTAAAAGGAAGCAAAACCGGTGTGTTCGTTAGTGTTGGCTGGTCATACATGGAAAACCCTGCATTTGTCAATGTGACGGAGCCGCAGAAGTTTGCAATTACTGGGTATGAAAATTTCATTAGCAACCAAGTTTAGATAGATTTGGAAATATCATTACGTCTAAAAAAGAGGTGTTATCATTTGAAAGACAACTTCAGTTTCCTTAAAATTCCTGGAACGTAATTAAGTAAATTTAATTTTTTTAAAACTCCAAGTAGAACGGACAGGACTTTAGGAGCAAGAAGCAATAAGTACTTAGGTTTTATTACTATATAATACATGTATCTATTTATTTCAGTTGTCTTCATTCGATATATGCTCATCGTCTCAGCTACATCCTGAAATTAAAGGGACCATCATTTACAATCGACAGTGCTTCTAGCAGTTCTGGGAATGCTCTTCATTCAGCATTTAAATCCATAAGAAGTGGTGAATGCGAAAATGCGATCGTGGCTTCTTGTAATTTAACATTACATCTTGGAACGACAATTCAGTGTTTTCGGTATAGTTATCAACATAAGATAATATTCCTCTATATATATATACCAATCATATTTAGCTTGGGAGTCTTAAGCCATGATGGAGTTCCTAAAATATTCGATCAGGATGCCAACGGCTACGTCAGTGGCGAAGCATGTGGATGCCTTTTTCTTCAAAAATGTAAAAATGCCAAAAGGATTTACTCAAAAATTATTAATGTGAAAGTGAACACCGATGGTTTTAAAAAGAAGGGAATGACATTTCCGTCTTCACGAATGCAAGAAAAGCTCATGGCTGAATTGTACAATGAAAGTAACATTAATCCTTCAAGATTGTCCTATGTCGAAACACATGGCACTGGTACTCAAGCTGGTGATCCTCAAGAAATGAAAGCTATAGACAGAGCTTTGGCGAAAAAATGTGAAAAACAGCTCCTCGTGGGGTCAGTAAAATCAAACATTGGTCATACAGAGTTGGCATCCGGTATTTGTTCAATTATCAAAGTACTAATTGCTATGGAAACCGGATTCATACCACCTAGTATCAATTTGAAAAGAATTCGAACAGGACTGGAAGGATTTGAACAAAAGAGAATGAAAGTTGTGACAGAAACTACTGAGCTTCTAGATCATGAAGCAATTGTAGGAGTTAATAACTTTGGGTTCGGAGGAAACAACTGTCACATGATACTACAAAGGTTCAAAAAACACAAACTTGATGGTGGACTGCCAAAAGATGATATCCCTAGATTAATATGTGTCAGTGGTCGCACTCAGGAAGCAGTTTTGAAAATTTTAAACCACGTTAGTAACAAGAGCTTGGATGAAGAATATGTCGGTCTTCTCCACCAGTTATATAAAATGAATATTCCAAACCATTTGTATCGTGGGTATGCGGTAGTTTCAAAACACGGTGTTGATTCGATGTCATCAAAACTACTACCTCTTCAAAAACCAAAGTTGTATGTATTTTTTGGACAATTTGTCAAGAATTTTCGTATACTGGCTATTCATTTGAGGAAATTTTCAATTTTCAACAAAATCGACACAAAGTAAGTTGATTTTATCTGTGGGTTTCTATTTGAAAGATGTTTTTCTTGAGGAAAGGATTAATCAAATTTTGGTGGTGAACAAAGTAAAAACGCTTGGGGAAATTTTAGAAAGTAAATTAAAAGGAAATGAAGACACACTGGGCTCAATGTGCTTGCAGTTAATATTAATTGATATTATTAAAAAGTTGGAGGTGTTTCCTGTTGGTGTTTTCGGTGACACTTTTGGTAAAATAGTTGCTGCTTACTATTACAACGTTATCCAACTGGAAGAAGCCGTGTTAGCAGCGATCAAACTTAGTAAAATAAATTGTGACCCTAATTTGGACATCCATTTAAAAAATTTAGTTGATTCAAAACACAGTAAAGATTTTACTAGACTACCAAAAGGAACAATAATACTAAATATATCCGATTTTCCGATTAATGGAGAAGATAACTTACTAGTAGAAGAGGGAAGAATCAACTTACTAAGTCTATTAGGAAGGTAAAAATTTAACATTAACATAGATTAAAAACCACACAATGAATTTATAGATTATATACAGAAGGCTACCTTCCACAAGTTCACAAACTGTACCCTCCAATAGAATTTCCTGTAAGTAGAAGCACCTCCATGATTTCGCCCTTTCTTCAATGGAACCATGAAAAATCGTGGAATACATTCATGTTTACTGAATTTGCATCATCACATGCCCACCAAAAAGAGTACAACATTTCATACTTACACGAAGAACACCAGTTTATAAAAGGCCACGTTATTAACGGTAAGAAATTTGAACCAACAATAAAATATACATTAAAGATAAAATAAATAACTTAGGATGCAATATCTTCCCTTTTACTGAGTGTTTAAAACTAGTCTGGGAAACACTTGCACAGAGTCGAAAATTAGTGGCCTCTGATATTCTTGTGTTGTTTGAAAATTGTAAATTTATCAGAACTACGACAGTACCGGAAAGTGGTGACGTAAAATTGCTCATATCGATTCAACGAGGCACAGGCAATTTTGAAGTTCTTGAAAAAAATTCTCTGTTAGTCAGTGGACGTATACAGGTTTGTCCAAATGCAAGTCAACGTCAAATTGACCTACCACATCTTACTTCGTTCAGTGACGATAAATTAGAAATTCTGGAACAAGAGCAAATATATCGAGAACTTTGCCAAAGAGGTTATAATTACAGGTAAATTGGATATAAATTAACACTCAGAAATGTTCAGTACTTAAAATAGTACTTCAAGTACACATGAGAAGTTTATTGAATTAATGAATTAATAATATTTGAATTACATTTGGTAAACTTTAGGGAATACTTGAAGCAGTACTCGACACATCAAATATTTTGAGCAGCTCATAATAACCGCTTTTTCAGCGGTTTTTTCAAAGCCATTAAACGATGCAATTTTGACATTTCTGTCGGTCTGGTCAAGTGGGAAAACAACTGGGGTACTTTTATGGATAATATGTTTCAACTGAAAATTCTCAGTTCCGACACAAGATTACTTTACGTTCCTGCTGGCATTAAGAAAATTATAATGGATCCTTTGAAACATATACATATTGCGAAAAACCAGGATGGAGAAGAATGTATTTTACATGTTTATCTGAACCAGGAGTCTAACATGATCAAGTAAATAAGTTATTGTCCAAAATTACAATTAAATAAACTTCTGTCTTGTTCAGGTCTGGCGGAATTGAAATACACGGACTACAATTCAGATCCATTCTCAAGAAAAAACTAGAGTTGGAACAAGTTCTAGAAAAACACGTATACGTCCCCAATAATTCGTTTCTAGAATTAGAAGAAGCTGTGAGAGTCAACACTCAGATTATTCTAGAAAATAATTTAGACGACAACTTTAAAGCCGTGGAAATCATAAATGAACAAACGAATAGAGATACTGAACCTGTCCTAGTCTTCGTGAAAAAAGCCCTGAAATATTTTCCACTAGTGGACTCTGATCTTACCATTTCGTCAACAGTATCCCCAAACAAAACACCAGGCATAAAATTTGAGACGGTTAACTTAACACCACAGAGTAATATACTTTTGTACATTGGTAGTAAACTTTTACAACAACCAAACACTTTAAAACAACTTTTCACACCGCTTACCCAAAACGGATTTATCTTAACACGGGAAAATGTTGATGTAAAAGTACAAAACGCTACTAATGACATAGAAATTCTCACTGACTACACAACCCCAAATGAAAGAATCATACTATTGCGGAAAAAGGACGACATTTTTGTGCCCAGATTTATTGAAGTATCCTCGAACAATTTTGAGTGGCTATCCGAATTACAAAAATCTTTAAATCTTCAACAAAATATTATAACATTTGCATCAAATCGAGATCCTGAAGGAATATTGGGTTTAATAAATTGCATCAGAAAAGAAACAAATGGGAGTTCAGTGAGGTGCTTCTTTATGATAGATGATGCTCAAGAATTTGATCCCCAACACCCATTCTATAGTAAACAAATCAGTAAAAACTTGGCTGTTAATATTTATAAGGATAAATCGTGGGGAACATATCGAAATCTTCTATTGGAAGAAAGACCGAAGATTAAATGCGAACATTCTTACGCACATTTTAAAACTGGTGGCGGCATTTCAAGTTTTGAATGGATAGAGGGACCTTTACTTGAAGAAGTACCAATGAAACAAGAGCAACTTTTGATTTCAGTAAGTTACATAATATACACATGTTCAGTGGAAATGGCAATAACTGTTTGCAGACATTTTATTCGTCAGTAAACTTTAAAGATGTTTTGGCAGCTTCTGGGCGTGCAAATCTAGAAATATTGCAAACTCATTCACTTGACCAAAATCTATTAGTAGGATTTGAATTTTCAGGAAAAGATTCAAGGTGGTATTATTTATTGCAAAAGATTAAAGTTACAAATTTACTTTATTTACAGTGGCCGCAGGATAGCTGGAATGACTAACAATCAAGGAATTTCAGCTTCTGTCACTTTGGATTCTTCTTTAGCTTGGAAAGTTCCTGACGCTTGGACGCTTGAAGATGCGGCGACAGTTCCCGTTGTGTATTCGGCTGTAATTTATGCTGTTTTGGTGGTACGTATATAAACAAATTTCAACTCTCTAATAATTTTTTGTCTAGGTTGGCGATATGAAACCGGGTTCTTCAGTTCTTATTCACTCCGCCACTGGTGGTTTTGGACTAGCTGCCTTGAACATTTGTCTTTATTATAAATGCGACGTTTATGTAACCGTTGGCACTCACGAAAAAAGAGCCTATTTAAGAGAAAATTATCCACAAATTCCAGACAATCATATTGGAAATTCACGAAACACCTCATTCGAACAAATGATCAATAGACAAACCAGGAGTAGAGGCGTTGAATACATTTTGAACACTTTAAGCGAGGATAAACGGCCAGCTTCGATTAGGTGTTTAGCACAAGGAGGACAGCTAATGGAATTTGGGACGTACGATTTGGCGAATGACAGTGCTTTTAACATTTTATTAATGAAAAAAAATGCCACCTATCATGGGATCTCGTTAGACGTTGTGTTTAGAAATTTTAATGAAATGAGGACTAAAGTGGTTAAACGTTTAATAGATGGAATTGAAGCAGGTTTCGTGAAACCACTGCCTAGGGTTGTATTCAATGCTGCTGAAATTGAAAAATCCTTCAGATACATGATGGCAGGTAAACACATTGGCAAAATTTTGATCAAGCTGAGGAATGAGGAAGAGGACAAGGTTCACATTAACCAAATAAATAAACTGGAAATTATGTCAAATCCAGGGTAAGTTAGCATCTGAAAGAATGCTCAGTACGGAAGATTATGAGAAAAGTCCATTTTGTATTTTTTCTTATAAAGCACCTTCCCTGTTGGGTAAAGTAAGCTTAAGTATGGTTCATATCATAATTTTGCACTATTCGTGTAAATATAATTCCGTACCTCTTGTTTTTAAATAGGATAAAACAAAATATTACTACTTTATACAACTATCGGGCCAATTTCAAGTTGGTTTGCAATTAATTGCAAGCTGCATTGCTATGGTAACCTCGCAAAAATATAATGGTTTGTATTAAGAGTTCTACGAGATCACCATAGCAACGGCGCTTGCAATTAATTGCAAACCAACTTGAAATTGGCCCGTAAATCTATTTTTTTAAGAATCCATTTTAACCACCGTTACACTTACGTCATTATTGGAGGGCTAGGCAGCGTCGGTTTAGAATTAAGTGATTGGTTGGTTCTGAGAGGTGCCAGAAAACTAGTACTAAATTCTAGATCTGGAATTCAAAATGGTTACCATCAGCGCAGAATAAAGTAAAATAATTTGCCTTTTAAAAGAAAAACTTTAGATCACAATTTCAGTATTTGGTTAACATACGGTGTTGAAGTTAAAATTTCCACGAAATACACAACCACTGAGCAAGGATGTGAAGATCTAATTAAAGAAGCAAGTAAGCTTGGACCTATAGATGCTATTTTTAATCTAGATGGACTGTTTGAAAATCAAACGAAAGAAAATTTATATGCTTCGTTAGCTCGCAACACACTATATTTGGATCGCGTAACTAAAAAATTGTGTCCCAAATTGAGGTTAACTTTTAACTTAGAGGTTCCGATTGATTATGGTGATATATTTTAGGTATTTTGTCATATTTTCGTCAGAATCCTGTCGACGTGATAATCCAGGTGAGATCAACAACAATATGGCAAACTTTATTATGGAAAGGATCTGTGAGAGTCGAAAACGGGAAGGACTACCAGCCGTAGCTATCCAATGGACGACAAACGGTGAAGTAGTTAAAAATTTATTAAAAGATTTCTTGAAATTGCGAATGTATTAAAGGTTGCTTTGGAAGCGATGTCAATTTCAAGCCGTCTTGAGATGTTAGACGTGCTGCTGAAATGTAACTATCCAGTTGTTTCTAGTACCGTGATTGCCGAAAAAGACTACAAGGTTGAGACCATTAGTGCAGTTAAAGCGGTTGCTCATATTTTAGGAATTAAGGACATGAAAACCATAAGTCAATTTACAACATTTCCAGAACTCGGTATGGATTCGATGGTGGGAACCGAGATTATTAAACTTTTAGAGAAAGATTTTCAAATCTTCGTAACTTCTAATGATGTGAGGAATCTAACCTTTGCGAAGTAATTAATACAGTATTAATACAATACCATGATTTATGTCTTAATTTTAGACTGGTTGAAATGGAAGAAAAAAATGTAAATAAAGTTAAAGAATCAGCTGAACAGAAGCCAGAAGATATTGGGTCTAAATAAAGAAGTCCCAAGCGAGTTAGTTAGTTAATTTTTCAGGCAGATATCTTACTTATGAGTGTCATATTTAGTTGCATTTTTGTAGTTAACAATATGAGATTCTTTCATATTGGTTTGTTTTTATTGCTTCCTTAAGATCTAACCAAACACAGGAATGTTTAGACTCAAACCATCATGGTGGAGCTTAAAATCTTCAAAAAAAATCGTAGATCGTAAATTGCATAACATTTTTTGGAAACTGTAAGAAAAGCAATAAATTTGTGAATAGTATACGAGACGGAAACGAGAGACCTATGTTTTCTTACTCTATGTGTCATGACATGTCAAAACACGAGACTAGTCATTCGTATGACAATACTACTTTCTTACCTTACGCAGTAAATACATACAGGGTGCCGCATCCAAGTCTGGATATAGGGAATTAACATGGGAATTGGTTTTTATTTTATGATATCTCCCCAGATGACTTTAAAGCTATTAATGAGTAATGTCTTTGTGGAGGTTGAAGAGGGCTATCGGCCAGTATTTTTTTCAAATCGTTGCATCGCGCTCATTCACTGTAAAAAGGTTTTAAAAATCGTATTTTGAAATTCGCGCTCGATCCGATTTGTCGCGAAATGTTCTGTCGCACTGTCGAAGTTCGGCGATCGCGTCTTTGGAATAACCATGCAAAATCCAAATGTCGAAATGAAATTAGAAATGTTTCTCAGAAATCAACGAACAACTCAAACTGGATTATTTTATCCAGTGTGATGATTATTGTAGGACAAATTAAACGGAATAAATGCACAAATTGATCCATTCATTCGTCATAGTGCGCGACCCTTAAACGAGCCATCTCGGAACTACACGCAGACCGTATCCAAAAAGCCCGAGATGAAGACTTCGAGCAGCTGGTCTTCCTCAAAACCCCATCGGCAGCATTTTGACATGTACTGGGAGCCGTCGAGCTAGGAATGTACGGTCGTGGACAGTGAATTTCGTCCACCCAATTTCTTTGACAGAAAAAAACTCTAAACTAGCCCTTAGATCTTTCTAACCTTTTTTTGTCATTTTGACATAAAGGTGCAATGACATGATGTCCTAGAAGCCCCAGTCATACACTGACAGTTGTACGCCATTGATAACGATAGTCATGGACCACCTGAGGGTTGTGTAATGCTTAAATTTGATCGTTCTGACGATTAGGTATAACTTCCCTTAAGACCAAATGAACATTCGTCAGTAAAACAAATGTGCCTCAAAAACTCTTCATCAGCCTAGATTCTCTCAAGCGTTTCTTCGTAAAACTCCATAAGTGAGAAGTAGTCCTCAGGCTTCAATTTTTTGTCATTATGCTTTTTGAAACTCTTCTATCCCATCTCTTTAAGATCTCTAGAAAACGTTGTGTCCACCTGATTTTATTTACTTTTTATCACCTTTGAAAATAGATGTAACTTTGTTTTGTGAAATGTTATTTTTATTTTTGTTGTTGTTAACAAAATAAACAAATAAAACAGTAATACAAAAGTTTCTGAATCCCAAAACACATTCGTAATAGAGAAAAATACTTTAAAATGTTGATGAATCAATATTCTACATTTCTCTCTCAAAAATTTCTTGTAACGAACATGCTTCCAGGTGGCAAAATTCCATCCCTGCTTAACGAATGTAAAATCAATTGACTTCCAATCTTTAGTGATTCGAAAAAAAAAGTGTGAAATTTACCCCAATTAACTACTAAATAAATTAATCGTTGAAGAACAAGCAGGCCCTCGCTTTTTCATCTAATCGCAGTAGAACATAGCATAACCTAATAAAATATTTTGTGCAGGTTGTGCATTTATTCCGTTTAAATTGACTTACAATAATCATCACACTGGATAAAATAATTCAGCTTGAGTTGTTCGTTGATTTCTGAGAATAATTTCTAACTTCACTTTGACATTTGGATTTTGCACGGTTATTTCAAAGACGCGATCGCCGAACTTCGACAGTGCGACGGAACATTTCGCGACAAATCGGATCCGGCGCGAATTTCAAAATACGATTTTTAAAACCTTTTTACAGTGAATGAGCGCGATGCAACGATTTGAAAAAAATACTGGTCGATAGCCCTCTTCGACCTCCAGAAAGGCATCACTCAACAATAGCTTTAAAGTGATCTGGGGAGACATTATAAAATAAAAACCAATTCCCATGTTAATTCCCTAGACTTGGATGCGGCACCCTGTATAAGTGAACACGTAATTATGTTGCTGCAGACCATGTATGAAATATAAAAATACAGAAATGTGCAGCATGGAGGTTAATGGAAATAACTTGCATAAATTGAAATATCTTTCCACAATTTAAATTTAAAAATTTGTTTGTGTTTTTGCACAGCTCTACCAAATTAATTGGCTATTGTATTTAAATGATACAAAAGTTCAAAATAAAGTCTTTGACGAAAATATAATTTCATGCGTTTTCGACGTTACTTGCATTAAAACGTCGTCCCCCTTTTTTCTCTGTGTTTGTCTGATCCTCTGTCTATCAACTGTTGTATATGTCAATGAACGATTTTATTAGTCAAAGGTTACTGACAATTTTTCGATGTATTTTCAGACTATAGTATAGACTAGAGACCCTAGATATACTTTCGAAAAGAGTTGTGACACGAAACGTCAAAATTAATGGTAAATTTTATTTTACTATGCTGGCTACAGATGCTTTTTTTGAGTCATGTTTTGACAATTTGTAATTGTCATTTAGTACATAGACGTGGAAGAGAATAGTCGTCGTCTGTTGTGTACGAAACTGTAGAAATACAGAAGCAAATGGTTTCTCATTGTTTAAATGCCCCGAAAACAAGATATTACTGAACAAATGGAGAGAACAGATGCTATATCCATCTTGAAAAATTGGCAAAAGGGTTTACATCTGCGAGGTTGTTGTCCAAAAGTGTATTTTCCATCTAATCCTTGGTCAACAGGTTCACTTCAAAAAAGAGAATTTTATATTTCAAGTGAATGCAAAATATGTGAGAACGCAATTCCAACAATTTATAATGTGGCTGAATTTACGTCAAAAAAAATGTTATTGATGAAGTTCAGCAGACTATTTTCGAAAAAGACAACTTCATCAAAAAAACTGCAAATGAAAAAAAGGTTACAACTTCCGGGGTGCGGAAAAAGAAATTAATGTTTTGAAAGCAAAAATTTCTAGTTTAGAAGGGCAAGTGGTAAATTACAAAAATAAAGACGATGCTTAAAACAAAACTATAAAAGGGTTTTTCAACAAAAACCAAATTCAAAATTTAAGTGTGAAATGTAAACTACCAAAACGCTGGAACAATAAAACAATACGCTGGAACAATAAAACAATAGAAGAAGCCATTAAAACAAAATTTGTCTGTGGAACGTCATTACATAACTATATCTTTTGAATATAAATTTTCCGTTACCTTCAAGTAGAAACCTATGCCGTAAAATTCAGCACATACCGTTTTTACCAGGAATTTTACATGGAATTTTTACCTATTTAACAATCAAAATTCAAAATTTTAATGATTAAGAAAGAGATTATTGTTTATTTTTAGGCGAAACAGCAACCAATCCAGGTAAAGAATACTGTCGACGTTCCTCATTACTTTTGGGAAACAACATTAACAAATTTAAATGAAGTCGCTACCCATGTTTTGTTTTTTATGTTAGGAGGCGTAAGCTTACGATGAAAGTAAATCGTATGTTATCATTTTACTGGGAATTCCACACACGGAGACACATTATCTAGAATTGCAAAAGAAATTAGAATCAAAAGTACAAAAATGCAGTTCCAAAATTCAATAGTTTACCCAAATGACGAAAGTAGGAATGTTTATTTTTTATTTTCCAAAGTATATCTAGGGACACTAGTATAGACTATAACCGTCCACCAAATTGTGTTCATCTATACCAGAAGCATGATCAGTTTGTTTTGGAGAAACATTTGTTTAGTCTATGGCTCTGGGTGATCTCGTCTAAACTTCTTTATTTAACCTAAGAAAAGTTGCTAAAGCCCACATGTTTTTAAGTTAATGTGTTATTTCGTTTTTCTCCATTGTACTTTGTTTAATCCTAGATTGTACATTTTTATATATATTTGTCGTCTACATGTAGTACATGATATAATCTGCTCCCACTTTTGCTTTTTTGCATTGATTTCGTAATACTCGTGGAAAGGTTATTAAAAGACAATGTTGTTTAACTTTGTATATCTTTGGTGTCATAATAAATGAATTTCATAGGTTGACCTTATACACCTACTGATTAGTATGCAATAGAATGAATTTGATTTGTCCATAATTTTTGCATATGTTAATTTTGATCCACGTTTAAATAGTGAGAGCCTAATTGGTTTTTCGTTGCGACGAACCTTAACCAATTTCAGAATTTTTTAGGGTTAATTTTTCAAAGACTCTAATGAATGACAAAACGGAGAAATATATGGACAGTTGTAGACGCTGTGGAAATTCCAAGTTAAGTAGTAGAGAAATCTACATAAGGTATTTCTTAGTTTCTAACAGAGTTTCGATGATTTGAGGAGGAGTATGATAGATCAAGGCACAAACATAGTGCGACATCGAATAAACACTGGAGATGGGCAACCGATCCGTCCAGCTCCGCGAAGACTACCTTTGGCAAAACAAGAAGAGGCCGAGAAACTTGTACGGAAACTGCTGGATGAAGGCGTTATAGAGGAATCCAACAGCCACCAAAAAACATGGGTCGACGAGATTCTGCGTAGACCACAGGAAATTAAACGCTACAACCTAGAAGGACAGTTACCCACTTCCACGAATTGATTACACGTTCACAACATTATCAGGATCCGCCTTGTTTTCCACGTTAGACCTAAAAAGCGGCTACTGGTAAGTTGGTATTCAACCAGAAGATAAGGAAAAGACAGCTTCTTCTGCCGGAAGCGACGCTGTAATGGGAAAGACATTTGAGGAGCACTTGACCAACCTAGAAGAAGTCTTTAGTTGAATCAAGACTACGGGAACAAAGATCAATGCGATTCGCAATTGGCCAGAACCAAGAGATAAACACGAAGGCCCGAGTTTCTTGGGATTGTGCACGTACTGCAAAAGGTTTGTAACGGGTCTGCTGATATTGCTGCTCCTCTGCACAGGCTAACGGATTTGAAGTCTCAGTTTAATTGGACTGCTGAATGTGAAGCAGCCTTTAAAAGAGTGAAGAACGCAATATGCTCTAGTCCCATTCTGTCCTATCCTCAATCATCGGGAATGTTCATCTTGGACACGGATGCAAGTAACATCGGAATCGGTGCTGTATTGTCACAGGCGCAGAACAAGGAAGAAAAAGTCATCGACTACTTTAGTACTTTCGAAACTCGAGAAGAACTACTGTGCTAGGAGGAAGGAGTTGTTGGCGATTGTCAGGGCTTTTGAACACTTTCTTAAGTATTTCTATGGACCCGAATTCCTTATTAGAACCGATCACGCACCCTTACATGGCTCCTTTAAATGAAAAATCCCAAAGGACAAGTGGCTAGATAGCTTAAACGACTCCAACAGTATCATTTAAGAATGAGAAGACACAGGGATAGTAAGGTCCACAATAATGCGGATTCCTTGTCGTGAAGACCGTGTAAGAATTGCAAACGCTGCGACAAAATCGAGCAGTGTGAAATGTCGTTCACCTGTAGGAGGACAGCAGTTGTGGAAGATGAAGAATGAACTACGGCTGAGCTTAGAAAAGACCAACAGGAGGACGTGGATATCGAACCGTTGCTCAAATGGAAAGAAGAGACGAGTCACCCACTTTGAAAACGTTATGGGTTCAGTGGGACTCCCTGTGTGTCGAGAACGGATTGCTTAAACGACCTTGGGAGAGTCCAGATGGAAAATATACCACTATCCAGTTGGTGGTTCCGGCCACCAAAATCAAGGAAGTATCTCGAGAGATACATAATGGGGGTTCTGGTCCTCATTTCGGAATCAACAAGACACTTTCTAAAGTTAAGGAGAGATTTTACTAGGTCCGTTGCGGAGAATACGTCGAGAACTGGTGCAAGAGATGTACGATCTGTGCGCGACAATACAACGTCGGTTCGCATTTCGAAAGAATTGCAGTAGACATAGCCGGTCCTTTCCCGGTGACCAAGGACGGAAATAAGTACATAATAGTCGTCCGCGATTACTTCAGCAAATGGTCCGAAGCTTATGCCAGATCGAACCAAGAAGCCACGACGGTTGCAACAACGCTGATTGACAATTGGATCAGCAGGTTTGGGGTTCCAATGGAATTACATTCGGACCAAGGCAGAAATTTCCAGTCAAATCTACTCTAAAGTTTTTCTGAGGAACTAGGGATACGGAAGACACGGACTACATCGTTGAAATTGTTGAGTTTAACCCACGCCGACTTTAATCACCCGTTCAACGTAACAATATGAAAAAAGTTAATGACGAAGAATACAAGAAAGGAGTGATTAAGACCATGTTTAAAACTGTATCAAAATTGATTCAAGAAATGTATTGCAAAAAATATAAACGAGTGTTGGATCCTTTTAAAGAAATTGTTTTTAAATCTTCAAGAAAAGTAAGGAATGCCAAACGGAGACAGTTGTAATCTATACCAAAAAAGCGAAATAGTATATTATTAACTAAGGTTGTGAAGACAGACATTCTAGACCGAGCGCAAATTAGAACCTGAGACGCGCAGCGTCGAGGGCTCTAAAGCGCGAGGTCTAGAATTGGCTTCACAAACGTGGTTAATATACTATTTTTTCCACTAGTAGCCCATTTGAGGTTTGCGAATTTTCAAAATGTTTTTTCTGAAGTGCATCAATAAAAACGTGTACTCACGTCATTTTAGTAAGCTTTGGAATTTTATTATTTTTTGACAATCCAGAAATGGTCCAGAACTTTTGATTTCATTTCCTCCATATTTCCCGTTTTTAATAAATTTTTGTGTGAAAAATGTGGTAAAGTGAACCATCATGTACCCCTCCTCATTCCGTCGTACTTACGCGACCGCGACAAATTTGGCTGAAAAATGTATGGACCTTTTATCGTTAAAGCGACACGGGGAATGGAAATCCTCCAGCGTAGCAGAAGGATACAACGACGGCTCGATCTTCAATAAAAAAAAATCGCCGAAATCGTCCAAAGCTTATCTACGGCAAATCAAGTCAAACCAAATCGGAACCATGATTCAGTTTCAGTCCCGTAAACTTCATTTTCACTCCCATCAACTTCATCAACTTTGTTTCACCAATTTATCCTCAATTTATAAGCAATTCAGGGTTTGGAAATCATTCCAGGGCATAATTTAAAAGCAAATTTTCCAAAATGATCGTTTTCAGGTTATGTCTCAGTTTTTCTGACAGTTGTGGACAGTTGTCACATTAGGTGGCCAACTTCACGTTTACATTATTGACCAAGGTTCACAATTTTCCAAATTACAGACCTCTAGACAAGTCGACAATTAGCCATTGTAATGCTACTAGTGGAAAAATAAGTTTTCTTGCCCCAACTATGAAGGAAAATACGCCTGACGGACTTCAATGTAGGTTTTACCAAGTAGCCGCATTTGAATTGGCTTGGAGACGAGATGAAGCTGCAGGATGTCTTGTAGAACATTTTAAAAGAAGAGATCCAAGATGACTGAAGTTTAAGCAGTGCGTAATAATTTTATTGTCATAAATTTCGAATTAACCAAATTTTGCGTTGTAGATAGGCTGCAATATAATCCAATCTTCGGCAAGGCAGGTTGATGCCCAAAAGAACTGACAGAATCACAACGTCAAGACCCTTTTTGACAGTTAATCCAATTGGAACAAGACAACTGCGAGTGGATGATATAAAAACATGCCGCTTGGGAAAAACGAAATAGCAACGAATAGCAATCGAAACGAGCAGCAACTTATCAAATTAACAGCAATTAATAGCCGGAAGGAGGTGAATCTCTGAAAAAGCATTTTATTTTAGAAGTTTATTGTTAGTGATAGTGAGTGTCTTTGCGTGTTAGTGAGTGTGCTGGGGCCGGTTTTGATTTTTGTGCATACAGTAAAGAATCCTCAAAATGCCTAAGGTAAAATCATCCATGAAAGATAAAATCAAATTATGGTCATGGAACAATTTGGACACTAATTTTCAATTTCCTTCTTCAACCAAAGACAATTGAGTTATTCTGCAAAGTGTCTGGAAAAGTTGTAAGTAAACATTTAAAATACTGTAGCTTGAATTATGTTCACAATTTTGTTTCCTAGTTTAAGTGCGAAAAAAAATCACACTTTGAACAACACTGCAGTGGCGATGCACATAAAAAGAACGAGAATAAATCCAGTAAACAGACTTTATTAAACTTTAGTTCTGACAATGATTTTACGCAATTTTGCACCGATTTATGTAGGGCATTTACCGCAGCAAATATTCCATGGAATAAATTTAGTTGTCCTGAGTTTAAAAATTTTATGCATAAATATATAAATATACCTGCGGTGCTTGTTAAAAATCTAAGTATTACACTTGACAACCGAGAATAAATAGGTGTAATTTATACAGACTTTTCCCCGAATTTAATGATCTTCCTCACAACATTGTGTTAAGCAATAATAACTTTGAATTCACCTATCCCCTTCTCAAACTGATAACTATGCATTTTACAATGGCCTTACCTATTTCCGCTTTTTGTTAACGTTTGGAGTCTCAGAAGGCTTCAAATTTGGGCCTCTTCTCTATAAAAGTACATTAAGTATGTACACCTGGTGACTCCTTTTGGTGTGGAAGTTCAGACCTCTTAGGCTCACTATACAGTTTAAATTTTTTTCTGCATGTATTTCAAAAATACTAGTTTTTCAGAAAATTTTGACTTTAATTTTTCGTCTTATTTTTTAGTGAGACCATGTAATATTACTATATTTATCTCTCTGTGGCTGCAGTTGAATTAATTTTGCAAAGTCTGTCTGAGAGCTTAGAATTGCCAATATTTGCTTACTAAGACCATAATTTAACTAAAAACATCAAATCTATAGGTAGCTCATTAAACTGCATTGTAGAATTTAATTATTAAATGTTTCATTACATACGGTTGTGTACCTATTCAAATTAACTTTCACTTCCGCTGCAAAACGGATATATATGGACACTTCACCTAAAAAATAATCAATTTGTTTTTCTTCCCCGTAATATGGTGCACTCTGTGAACTAACTCAGTTTTCTATAATTCAATATATTTTTTTTTACAGTTAAATTCTTAACGTTATTGCTGCAATAAATATCGTTGATAAAAATGAATTTGTCTGCCGACAGAAAAGAACAATTATTATTTGACCCTAATTATCAATATAGTCGTTGCCTATCGTCTCCACTACCTGGAGAAGAAGTAGTCATATCAGGCATGTCCGGTCGTTTTCCAGAATCGGACAATGTTTACGAGTTTCGCGACAACCTATTTAACAAAAAGGATATGGTTACTGAAAACGATAAAAGATGGAAACTTGACCGTCCCGACATTCCGAAAAGAAGCGCCAAGATTAAGGTTATTAACAAATTTGATGCTGGATATTTTGGACTACATTATCGTCAAGCTGATGTTATGGATCCCACTTTGAGAATTTTAATGGAAACGGTTATTGAAGCTGTGATGGACGCTGGAATAAATCCCTTAGAGTTAAAAAGAAGTAAAACCGGTGAATTCGTTAGTGTGGGCTGGTCAAACGTTGAAAACCCCACATTTGTCAATGGAATGGAGCCACAAAAGTTTGCAGTTACTGGGTATGAAAATTTCATTAGTAAATCAAGTGTCGTTTGCAAACAATGTATGTATTTTTTCTGTTTATAATGCATGAATTAAGGATTATTGTTCATGGATGTAATGCACTGACGCACGGTCGCTATTAATAATCAGTACAACCCAGACTGGATGTCAAAGTGGGTGAAGGTTAAGACAAAGTTTGCCTTCATTGACCTCAATAGAATATTTTGATTTAAATTAAAGCGGTTTATTCGGTTTTTATATATTTCGTTAAATTTTATTTTCATATTTTTACTTCGTTTTTATCACTGATATATTTATTTCAGTTGTCTGAAATCGTTGTATGCTCATCGCCTCAGCTATAACTTAAAATTAAAGGGACCCACATTTACAATTGATAGCGCTTCCAGTAGTTCTGCGAATGCCCTTCATTCAGCATTTCAATCCATGAGATGTGGTGAATGCGAAAATGCGATTGTAGCCACTTGTAATTTAACACTACATCTTGGAACTACAATTCAGTTTGCTCGGTAAAATTGTAAAAAATGGTAATATTTGTGTATACATATACCAAATATATTTAGCCTAGGTGTCCTAAGTCCTGACGGGGTTCCTAAATCATTCGATCAGGACGGTAACGGCTACGTCAGAGGTGAAGCCTGTGGATGCCTTTTTCTTCAAAAATATAAAAATACAAAAAGAATTTACGCGAAAATTATTAATGCAAAAGTGAACATCGATGGTTTTAAAGCGGAGGGTCTGACATTTCCGTCGTCACAAATGCAAGAAAAGCTTATGGTTGAAATGTACCGAGAAAGTAATATCAATCTTTCAAAACTGTGCTACGTCGAAGCACATGGTACTGGTACTCCAGCTGGTGATCCTGAAGAAGTGAAAGCTATCGACAGAGCTTTAGCGAAAAAACGTGCACAACCACTTCTCGTGGGTTCAGTAAAATCAAATATCGGCCACACAGAGTTTTCGTCGGGTTTTTGTTCCATTATCAAGGTACTGATTGCTATGGAAACCGGATTCATACCACCTAATATCAATTTAAAAAGAATTCGAAAAGGGCTGGAAGGGATTGAACAAAACAGAATGAAAGTTGTGACAGAAACTACTGAGCTTCTAGACCATGAAGCAATTGTAGGGGTTAATAATATTGGTTTCGGAGGCAACAACTGCCACATTATATTGCAAAGGTTTAAAAAGCACAAAATCGATGACGGATTGCCAAAAGATGATGTCCCTAGATTAATTTGTGTCAGTGGTCGCACTAATGAAGCAGTTTTGCACCTTTTAAATGAAGTTAGCAACAAAAACTTGGATGAAGAATATGTCGGTCTCCTTCATCAGTTATATAAAATAAATATTCCGAATCACTTATACCGAGGGTATGCCGTAGTTTCAAAACGTGGTATCAAATCAATGACATCGAAATTATTACCCGCACGAAAACCACATTTGCACGTATTTTTTGGACAGTTTGTCAATAATTTTCGCACACTGGCTTCTCACTTGAAGAATTTTTCGATATTTAAAGACATCGAAACAAGGTAAATTAAAATTTTATTTGTGGGTCACTAAGTAAGAGATTTTTTTTTTCTTGGGGCAAGGATTAATCAAAGTTTGGTGCACTACAAAATAAAAACACTTAAAGAAATTTTAGAAAGTAGGACTAAACAAGACGACGACGTATTAGGTTCAATATGTGTGCAGTTAATTATGGTAGATGTTATGAAACACTTGAAATTGTCTCCTAGTGGCGTTTTCGGTGATACTTATGGCAAAATCGTTGTTGCTTACTATCATGATGTAATCCAACTAAAAGAGGCCTTGTCAAATGTGATGGAACTACGTAAATTGAATTTTGATTCTAACATAAATTTTCATTTTGAAAATTTAGTTAACTTAAAATATAAAGAATTAACTAATGAAAATTTTACTAAACCAGTTAAAGGAACAATATTGCTAAATATATCCGATTTTCCGCACAATGATGACAATATCTTACTCGTTGAAAATGGAAGAGTCAAGTTACTGAGCCTATTAGGAAGGTAAAAATTTAACATCAATACAGCTCAAAAAACATATCTGTATTTGTAGATTATATACAGAAGGTTATCTTCCACAAGTTCAAAAACTATACCCTCAAATAGACTTCCCTGTAAGTAGAAACACCTGCATGATTTCGCCTTTTCTTCAATGGAACCATGAAAACTTGTGGAATACATTCATATTCCGTGAATTTGAATCACCCCCTGGAGACCAAAAAGAGTACAACATTTCATACTTACACGAAGAACATCAGTTTATAAAAGGCCACGTTGTTGATGGTAAGAAATTTGAACAACATTAAAATATTAACATTAACGTTGAAATAAATAACTTAGGACGCAATATTTTTCCTGTTACCGAGTATTTAAAACTAGTCTGGGAAACATTTGCACAGAGTCGAAAATTAGTGGCCTCTCATATTCCTGTGTTGTTTGAAAATTGTAAATTTATCAGAACAACTACAGTGCCGGAAAGTGGTTACGTAAAATTGCTCATATCGATTCAACGAGGCACAGGCAATTTTGAAGTTCTTGAAAAAAATTCTCTGTTAGTCAGTGGACGTATCCAGGTTTGTCCAAATGCAAGTTCACGTCAAATTGACCTACCACATCTTACTTCGTTCAGTGGCGATAAATTAGAAATTCTGGAACAAGAGCAAATATATGGAGAACTTTGCCAAAGAGGTTACAAGTACAGGTAAGTTGGATATAATTTCTTTTGGTAAACTTTAGGGAATACTTGAAGCAGTACTTGACACATCAAGTACTCTTGTTGAGTACTTTGAGATGCTCTGCTTACACTTAATCATAATCTTTTTCAGCGGTTTTTTCAAAGCAATTAAACAATGTAATGTAGACATTTCTATCGGTCTGGTTAAGTGGGAAAACAACTGGAGTGCTTTTATGGATAATATGATTCAAATGAAAATTCTTAGTTCTGACACAAGATTACTTTATATTCCGGTTGGCATTAACAAAATTATAATAGATCCTTTAAAACATGTAGAAATTGCGAAAAGCCAGGATGAACAAGAATGTATTTTACCTGTTTATCTGAACGAAGACTCGAACATGATCAAGTAAATAAATTATTGACTCAAATTACAACTAAATAAAGACTTCTGTCTTGTTCAGGTCTGGCGGAATTGAAATACTCGGACTACAACTCAAATCCATTCCGAAGAAAAAAACTGAGTTGGAACAAGTTCTAGAAAAACACGTATTCATCCCCAATAATTCGTTTCTAGAATTAGAACAAGCTGTGAGAATCAACACTCAGATTATTCTAGAAAATAATTTAAAGGACAACTTGAAAGCCGTGGAAATCATAAATGAACAAACGAATAGAGATACTGAACCGGTCCTAGTCTTCGTGAAAAAAGCCCTAAAACATTTTCCACTAGTGGACTCTGATCTTACCATTTCGTCAAAAGTATCCCCAAATAAAACACCTGGTATAAAATTCGAACCGGTTATCTTAACACCACACAGTAATATACTTTTGTACATTGGTAGTAAACTTTTACAACAACCGAACACTTTAAAACAACTTTTCACACCGCTTACCCAAAACGGATTTATCTTAACACGGGAAGATGTTGACGTAAAAGTACAAGACGCTACTAATGACATAGAAATTCTCACTGACTACACAACCCCAAATGAAAGAATCATACTATTGCGGAAAAAGGAGGACATTTTTGTGCCCAAGTTTATTGAAATATCCTCGAATAATTTTGAGTGGCTACCCGAATTACAAAAATCTTTAAATCTTCAACAAAATATTATAACTTTTGCATCAAATCGAGATCCTGAAGGAATATTGGGTTTAATAAATTGCATCAGAAAAGAAACAAATGGCAGTTCAGTGAAGTGCTTCTTTATGATAGATGATGCTCCGGAATTTTATCCCCAACACCCATTCTATAGTAAACAAATCAGTAAAAACTTGGCTGTTAATATTTATAAGGATAAATCGTGGGGAACATATCGAAATCTTCTATTAGAAGAAAGACCGAAGATTAAATGCGAACATTCTTATGCACATTTTAAAACTGGTGGCGGCATTTCAAGTTTTGAATGGATAGAGGGTCCTTTACCTGAAGAAGTACCAATGAAACAAGGGCAACTTTTGATTTCAGTAAGTTACACAATATACACATGTTCTATAAAAATGATAATAATTGTTTGCAGACATTTTATTCGTCAGTTAACTTTAAAGATGTTTTGGCAGCTTCTGGGCGTGCAAATCTAGAAATATTGCAATCTCATTCACTTGGCCAAAATCTATTCGTTGGATTTGAATTTTCAGGAAAAGATTCAAGGTGGTATTATTTATTGCAAAATATTAAAGTTACAAATTTACTTTATTTACAGTGGCCGCAGGATAGCTGGAATGACCAACACTCAAGGAATTTCATCTTCTGTCACTTTGGATTCTTCTTTAGCTTGGAAAGTTCCAGACGCTTGGACGCTTGAAGATGCGGCGACAGTTCCCGTTGTATATTCCGCTGTTATTTATGCTCTTTTGGTGGTACGTATATGAACAAATTTCAACTCTCTAATAATTTTTGTCTAGGTTGGCGATATGAAACCGGGTTCTTCAGTTCTTATTCACTCCGCCACTGGTGGTATTGGACTAGCTGCCTTGAACGTTTGTCTACACTATAAATGCGACGTTTATGTAACCGTTGGCAATCAGGAAAAAAGAGCGTATTTAAAAGAAAATTATCCACAAATTCCAGACAATCATATTGGAAATTCACGAAACACCTCATTCGAACAAATGATCAATAGACAAACCAGGAGTAGAGGCGTTGACTTTATTTTGAATTCTTTAAGCGAGGATAAACGGCCAGCTTCGATTAGGTGTTTAGCACAAAGAGGACAGCTAATGGAATTTGGGACGTACGATTTGGCGAATGACAGTGCTTTAAACCTTTTATTAATGGAAAAAAATGCCACATATCACGGGATCTTGTTAGACATTGTGGTCAGAAATTTTAAAGAAATGGGGACCAAAGTGGTTAAACGTTTAATAGAAGGAATTGAAGCAGGTTTCGTGAAACCGCTGCCTAGGGTTGTATTTAGTGCAGCTGAAATTGAAAAATCGTACAGATACATGATGGTAGGTAAACACATTGGCAAAATTTTGATCAAGCTGAGGAATGAGGAAGAAGACAATGTTCACATTAACCAAATAAATAAACTAGAAATTATGTCAAATCCACGGTAAGTTACCATGAGAAAGAATGCTCAGTACGGAAGATTGTGAAAAGAGTCCATTTTGTATTCTTTCTCGTAAAAGACCTCCCCGATGAGAAAGTAAGCTTAAGAACGGTTCATATTATATTTTTGCATTCTTCGTGTATATATAATTCCGTACTTCTTGTTTGCAAATATTATGAAACAAAATATTCCCATTTGATATACATATATGTATTTTTTAAGCATCCATTGTAACCACCGTTGCACTTACGTCATTATTGGAGGGCTAGGTAAGGTCGGTTTAGAATTAAGTGATTGGTTGATTCAGAGAGGTGCCAGAAAACTAGTACTAAATTCTAGATCAGGGATACAAAATGGTTACCAGCAGCGGAGAATAAAGTAAAATAATTTCTCTTATAAAAGTAAACTTTACATAACAATTTTAGTATCTGGTTAACATACGGCGTTGAAGTTAAAATTTCCACAAAAAACTCAACCACTGAGCAAGGATGTGAAGATCTAATTAACCAAGCAAATGAGCTTGGACCTCTCGATGCTATTTTTATTCTAGATGGACTATTTGAAAATCTAACCGAAGAAAATTTCGACGCGTCGCTAGCTCGCATCACGCTATATTTGGATCGAGTGACCAGAAAATTGTGTCCCAAATTGAGGTTTACTTATAAGTCAGATGTACCAATTGATTCTGATGGAACGTTTTAGGTATTTTGTAATATTTTCGTCATTATGCTGTGGTCACGTTAATCCGGGTAAGATCAACAATAATATGGCAAACTCTGTTATGGAAAGGATTTGTGAGAGTCGAAAACGGGAAGGACTACCAGCCGTAGCTATCCAATGGAGGACAATCGGTGAAGTACTTAAAAATTTAATAAAAGATTTCTTGAAATTGCACCTATTTTAAAGGTTAATTTGTTGGGACCAATGCAAATTCAAAATAAAACGTTTGTGATAGATGATACTCTTCAACAACACATTTTAAACCGGCTTGACATGTTAGATGTGCTATTAAATCATGACTATCCAGTTGTTTCTAGTACCGTGATCGCCGAAAAGCATTATAACAGTGAGATTATTAATGCAGTAAAAGGGGTTGCCCGCGTTTTAGGAATAAAAGACATGAAAACCGTAAGTCAGTATTCGACATTTCCAGAACTCGGTATGGATTCGATGGTAGGAACAGAGATAATTAACCTTTTAAATAAGAATTTTGAGATCTACGTAACACCTGCAGATCTGAGGTATCTAACATTTGCAAGGTTGTTATTATATCATGCACAAAGTGTCGTATTTATTGCTGAATTTTAGACTTTCTGAAATGGAAGAAGAAAAAATAAGTAAAATTAGAGAAAGTGTTGATAATGAAAAAGAATGTACAAATTTGATGGTTCCTAAATTCGACAGTAAAGTGGATCTAAATAAAGAAGCTCCCACCGTGTTAGTTAATTGATTCTTAGTTGTTAGTATACCTACACTTTTGAAGTTATGATTACATTATTTACATTATTTCATATCAAAATGTTGTTTTTTTATTACTGCGTTGAAATCAAATGAACATGGGCACATGGACGGCGAAACCATGGTATGACTTGAAACACTCAATAAAAATTTCAAGAATTGCATGTCTGCGGATAAAGATATATGTAGAACATTTTAGGATATGTATTGGTAACTCAAGAGCTTCAACAACGAATGGAAGTGGTAGCCGCTACATTTCATGGCACTCTCGGAGTTTTTTTACGTATCTGTGCAAACATGTTGCGACGTGCTGAGGCTTGTATTGGTAGTCAAGGACAACATTTTCAATATTTATTGTAAAATGGCAGTGGCATTCTAAGTTGCTCTTATTTTTGTTCTAATAAACAATGTGGAATCGTTATGACAAAGACCAATCATCCGTTAGAAAAAAAGTCGATCACCATGAAGCATTAACAAAAATCGGTCCTTCTCAGGACCATCATGAATACATGAATAAACGAATGATAACCAGCAAAAATTCGGTTTTACTTTTAACTGAAACTGGAAGTGTTTACATCGTTTTTATTCGAACGTTTTTCCACCTACTTTTTAAAAGTTGTATCAGTGGCATCGCATCTAGGGTAATGTATGGAAGTTTTACCACATTCAATTTTTAATTTGTTTTTCCTATATTTCCATATTACTACGGTACGTGATGCATATAAAGAAATTGATTCCAACACTTCAAATTCTATGAATTACCCATGCAATGTAAAAATAAATAAGGAACATTTAACCTAATGAGCCTAACCTACACAGATATAAATTTATTTTTACATTTAAAATTAAGCTAAATTTCTTTGACGCATAAGGATGTCTGCATATGAATATACCATTGTATTTAAAGTGATCTGGTAGCTAAATATACTTTTTTCACTAGCAGCCATGACGCATGCAAATGTCGAGTCATTTAGAGGTAGCAAATTCAACTTTTGCGACCACCGGTTGAAAAAGAAAAATTGAGGTTATGTTCAGCTGAACGGTAAGTAATCACGCATTCAAGATTTTTTTTATTGTTAATTCCATGCTTGTTCGACTTCGATATTTTTGCTTTTAGAATCACTCATGATTGATATTTTAAGCAAATAAATCACTCACTAATAGTCGCGGAAAGAAAATTAACTCGAAATCAAGCCAGATCAAATCTAAATCGACAGCGATCAACATGGAAACTGATTTTTAAAATTGTTGTTTATGTTAATCGAAACCATAGTAACAAATTTTAAATTAAAAAAAAGACCTCGTTAATGTTTGATATAAATTCTTTCAATTTATGAATTTGATAAAAAGACGCAAATCTTTTGATGGTCGTACAAAAAATAGTATAAGAATCACGAACGTTAAGGGGGTTTACTGGTCTCAGAAAAAACTTTTGTCTTCAACCAGTAAACACCTCTTACCGTTATTAATACTTAATATACTATAGTGAAAAGTAGCGATGCTTATTCTTTCACAATTAAATATTCTAAAGTACAACATCTGCAAAATGCATAATTAATTACAAACTAAGTTTTACCACCTAGCAAGGAAAGGTTCCTGCATCTGTTGCTTTAGAAATTTTTATGTAGATACATAAGTATAACACATTAAAACTAATGGAAAAATACTAATTAGTCTAACGTTAAAATTAAAGTGTAAGGCTTGAAAAATGTAAACGTATTACACAGTTAATTGCTTGTTGCATATTGCAATGTATTCAAATTAACTTTGATTTCCGCTAGACAGCAGATAAATATGTGCAGCTATGCTAAATTGTCCATCATTTTTTTCTTCTCTGAAACATTCCACGCTTCGTGGTATAAATTATCCACTATTTTTGGTAAATTTAAAATTTTAACTTTGTTCTTTAATTTTAAGTAGTTCATGACAATGGGTTTAACTGAAGATATAAAAAAAGAATTATTCAGTCCTAATTATCAATATGGTCGTTGGTTATCGTCTCCATTACCTGGCGAAGAAGTAGTTATATCAGGCATGTCCGGTCGTTTTCCGGAGTCAGACAACATTTACGAGTTTCAAGATAATCTCTTCAGCAAAAAGGACATGGTTACTGAAAATGATAAAAGGTGGAAAATTGATCGTCACGACTTTCTAAAAAGAAGTGGCAATATTAATAATATTAACAAATTCGATGCTGGATATTTTGGAGTACATTCTCGTCAAGCTGATAATATGGACCCAGGTTTGAGAATTTTGATGGAAACGGTTATTGAAGCTGTGATGGATGCTGGAGTAAATCCGTTAGAACTGAAAGGAAGTAGAACTGGCGTATTTATTAGTGTTGGGTGGACGGAAATGAAAAACACTACACTTATCAGTATTAAGGAACCACAGAAGTTTGCGATTACTGGGTGAGAAAATTAAACAATTTAAGTAATTTCGCTTAGAAGTAGTGGATTTAAGCCTGCCCCAAGAGTACTGTCGCTCTTTGGTGCTGTTCCCAACACCTACCTTAGTCCAATCAATTTCTATTACAATGTTAACTAATTATCCAATCAAATCATTTATATTTCTGCATGACCATCAATACAAATAGAATTTCAGCGATAATTTTGTCGATTCCAAAATTATCAAATCTGATATTTAGTTGAAAATTTTTGTAAGATACAATTGTTACATTTACAAACAACTTTTGCCTTCTAACTCTCTGATTTGTACACAGGAAGATGACGACACCTAATACACTGCAGATCATAATAACTTTATTTGTCTGAGATTTTATTACAAAGTTTCGATATGTCGCAATAAATTAACACACACTGCATTAAACATATTACACATATGACAATGCAAATAAATCACACATTGATTTTAAAATCGATACTATAAAATGCGTCGAATTGTACAGGGTCATCATAAAATATTGTAGTCTAGGAAGACCATGACTTTGTTGACATTGTGTGCCGCCTTCCACAGTTTGGTGGAAACGATTGCACTAATATTGGCAGTTTATTTTTAACGCCACATTAGGGGCTGCACTGTTTCGGAGCCAACGCTCCATCAAATTCTGTCAGAGGTCAATAATTTTTTCGTTTTTACTGATTACTGGTGCGTTTTCCCACACTTTGTGCGCTAATTGACATGTTTTGTTGTTTTCATTTGCTGTCTTCCCCTTTGTTCGAACTTTAAGTGTCTCAAAAAACAGTGGAATAATCTCAGTCAGCGCTGATATTAAATATGTCTTCCGTTCTTTTATTTTTTAAAAAGTTGACTATTATGCGTACCATCGTCTTCCAAAACTGGATGGAAGAATGGGATGAGACTGATCTTATTGTTTGAATAAAATTTTTATAAGGGCTTTTTTTTGCACTACTTTAGCTGCATATTCCAGAAAGAAATTATTGAAATTATCTGGGTTACAATTTTCTGGAAACCGTTTGTCATAATTTCTGCCCTTTGTCTCATCTGAAATGGTATTCCATATAGATTTTGTTTTATTATTGGACGAGGTATCTGACTTTCAATGAATTTTCGTACTGTAGATGTGTTGGTTGAGAATAAATAGTTCTATGCAAGCAGAATACTAATTTTTATCACAAATGTATCTGTTTCAGTTACCTTAAATCGATGTACGCTCACCGTCTTAGCTATAACTTGAAATTAAAGGGACCGTCATTTACAGTTGAGAGCGCTTGTAGCAGTTCCGGGAACGCTCTTCACTCGGCATTTAAATCAATGAGAAATGGTGAATGCGAAAACGCAATAGTTGCTGCCTGTAATTTAACTTTACATCCTAAAACTACTATTCAATATTTTGAGTAAAGTTATTTCATTAAGTAAATAGTTGTTGGTTTATAGTAGCGTATTTTTAGTCTAGGAGCTTTAAGTAACGACGGTGCTTGTAAAGTATTCGATCAAAACGCTAACGGCTACGTTAGAAGCGAAGCTTGTGCATGCATTTTTCTTCAAAAATCTAAGAATGCGAAAAGAGTTTACGCGAAAATTATTCATGCAAAAGTGAGCTGTGACGGGTTTAAAAAGGAAGGAATTACATTTCCTTCCTCAAAAATGCAGGCAAAGCTTTTTACTGAAATTTACCAAGAAAGCAATATTAGCTTTTCAAATGTGAGTTACTTCGAAACACATGGCACGGGTACTAAAGCTGGTGATCCTGAAGAAGTGAAAGCTATTCATCGAGCTTTGGCAAACAAACGTGAAAGACAACTTCTCGTGGGTTCGTTAAAATCAAATATGGGTCATGCAGAAGCTGCATCAGGAATTTGTTCAATAATCAAAGTACTAATAGCTATGGAAAATGGATTTATACCACCTAATATACATTTGAAAAAAATTAGAAAGGGACTCGAGGGGATTGAACAAAACAGAATGAGAGTTGTGACAGAAACTACTGAACTTCTAGGGCATGAAGCTGTTGTAAGTGTTAACAACTTTGGTTTTGGAGGAAACATCTGCCACATCTTGTTACAAAGATTTAAAAAAGATAAAATTGAAGGTGGACAGCCGAAAGACGATGTCCCTAGATTAGTTTGTGTCAGCGGTCGAACCAATGAGGCAGTTTTGAAAATGTTAAACGATGTTTCTCCCAAAAACCTAGACGAAGAATATATTAGTCTCCTTCATCAATTGTATAAAGTGAATTTTCCAAACCATCTATATCGCGGATATGCAATCGTCTCAAAAGGTGGAGTTGTATCAATGTCGTCGAAATTATTGACAACTCAACATCCAAGCTTTCACGTATTGTTTGGACTATTTGTCAATAAATTTCGCACTATGGCCTATCATTTGATGAAGTTTTCAATCTTCAAAGATGTCGAGGCAAGGTGAGTTCAAATTTTAATTCAGGACCAATAACTAAGATTTAGTTTTCTTTCTTGGTAAAAGAATTAATGAAATTTTAATGTTCAACAACGTGAAATCGTTTCAAGAGATTTTAAATAGTACCGCAGAACCAGCTGAAGACGTTTTAGGGTCAATATGTTTGCAACTAATCGTTGCAGATATTTTCAAAACGTTACAGTTGTCCCCTACTGGTTTGTTTGGTGAATCTTTTGGGAAAATCGCTGTTGCTTACTATTACAATGTTATCCAACTGGAAGACGCAGTGTCAGCAGCGATCAAATTTAGTAAAAAAAATATACCAAATAGAGTTGATTCTAAACTCAAAGAGTTGATGGGCGATGGTTATGAAAATAATGTTGATCGATCTAAACCCACTTTAACATTAAATATTTCTGACTTGCCTCACAATGGTGAAAACAATTTAGTTGGAGAAAACGCTGATATCAATTTGCTCGTTCTGTTGGGAACGTAAATATTTATCGCCACTGAAAATTCAAGACTGTAGTATCAGTTTCCAGATTATACACCGAAGGTTACCTTCCTCAAGTTCACAAGCTTTACTCTACAGTAAAGTTCCCTGTAAGTAGGGGCACCTCCATGATTTCACCTTCTCTGCAATGGGATCACAAGAGATCTTGGTATACGTACAAATTTAGTGAATTCAAATCAGTAGATACTGAACAGTCTGAATACAGATATTCAGTTGTAAACGAGGCACAACAGTTTCTAGAAGGTCACGTTGTTGATGGTAAGAAACTTTAACAAATCAAAAATATAGGTTGTTAGTAAGGTAAATAATTTAGGACGCAACATTTTTCCTGCCACTGAATATTTAAATTTAGTTTGGCAAACATATGCACGGAGTCGAAAATTATTAGTCACCAAAATTCCTGTTTTATTTGAAAACTGTAAATTTCTCAAAGCTCTTACAGTGCCCAAGAGCGGTTACGTAAAACTGCTTATAACGATTCAAAAAGGAACAGGTAATTTCGAAATTCTTGAAAACAAATCTCTATTGGTTAGTGGTCGTATCCAAGCTTGTCCAAATGCAAACCAGCAACAAATTGACTGGCCATATTTGACTTCGTTCAGTGACGATCAATTAGAAATTTTGGAACAGGACGAAATTTATCGAGAACTTTGCCTAAGGGGTTACAGTTATAGGTAGGTTTGAACAAAGTAAGTTGTAGTTTATTTCAATTTCTTTCAGTGGTTTGTTCAAAGCCATAAAACGATGCAACATAAAAGCTTCTATAGGTGTGATTAAGTGGGAGCACAATTGGTGTACGTTTATGGATAATATGCTTCAAATGAAAATCCTTGGTATTGACACAAGATTGCTTTACGTTCCTGTTGGTATCAAGAAAATTATCATCGATCCTTTAAAACACATGGGTATTGTGAAAAGTCAGGATGGAGAAGAACGTCTTTTACCTGTTTATGTAAACGTGGACTGTAACATAATCAAGTAATTAAATTATTGTTTAGTATTACATATAAATAGATACTATAAATTTTAGATCTGGTGGAATTGAAATACATGGACTGCAAGTCAAATCCGTTTTCAAGAAAAAACTGTGGATCGAACCAGTTTTAGAAAAACATGTTTTTGTACCAAATAATTTATCTCTAGATTTGGATGAAGCAGTGAGAATCAACATCCAGATTATTTTAGAAAATACTCTAGAAAGCACGTTTAAAGCTGTGGAAATCATCAACAAATTTACAGATACAAACGCTGAATGTATATTAGGCTTTGTAAATAAAGCCCTTGTAGATCTTCCATTGGTGACTCCTGATCTAACCATTTCGTCAAAAACCACTGTAGATGAAGCACTTGGCATAAAATTCGAAAGTGTTACCTTAACGTCAGAAAGTAACATACTTTTGTACATTGGTAGCAAGATTCTCCAAAAATCTGACAATATACAACAATTCTTAACACCTCTTAGCAAAAACGGATTTATTTTAACACGAGAAGATATCAACTTCAAGCTAGAAAAACATATCAATGAAATCGAAATTCTCACTGATTATGTAACTCCAAATGAACGGATTATTTTATTTAGGAAAAAAGTGAAGATTGAGAAATCCAAGTTTGTCAAAATATCTTCATATAATTTCGATTGGTTGCCCGAATTACAAAACTTTATAAATCTAGGGAATAACATCATAGTTTATGCAACAAACCAAGTTCCTGAAGGGATATTGGGTTTGATAAATTGCATCAGACGGGAAACAAGTAAAAACTTCGTTCAGTGTTTTTTCATGATGGACGATGCTCCCGAATTTGATCCCCAACATTCATTTTATAGTAAACAAATCAGTAAAAATTTGGCTATAAACGTTTATAAGGATACATCTTGGGGAACATATAGACATCTGCGTTTGGACGAAAGCCCGAAAATTGTTTGTGACGATACCTATGCCTATTTCAAAAGTCGAGGAGATATATCTAGTTTCGAATGGTCAGAGGGACTTTTAACTAAACAACTACCATTGAAAAAAGAGCAACTCTTGACTTCGGTACGTTACTAGCATATAGGTTATGTTAGAAATAACTATTGTTTGTAGACATATTATTCGTCAATCAACTTCAAAGATATTATGGCATCTACCGGGCGCATAACTCCAGAAATTTTAGACCCTCATCGACTTGGCCAAGAATGTCTAATAGGATTTGAATTTTCCGGAATAGATTTAAGTGGCCGTAGATTAGCTGGAATGATCAATGCTCAAGGCATTTCGTCTTACGTTACTTGTGATTCTTCCTTGGCCTGGAGAATTCCAGATTCGTGGTCACTTGAAGATGCAGCAACGGTTCCTGTTGTGTATTCCACTGTTATTTACGCTCTTTTAATGGTACGTTTTTATAAAAAATTCGTCTTTCCAACGATTTTCTTTAAGGTTGGAAATATGAAACCAGGTTCAACAATTCTCATTCATTCCGCTACTGGCGGTATTGGACTAGCTGCTTTGAATCTTTGTCTTCACTATGAATGCGACATTTACGTAACCGTCGGCACTCAGGAAAAAAGAGAGTATTTAAGGAAAAATTATCCACAAATTCCGGACAGCCATATGGGACATTCACGAGACACCTCATTTGAACACATGATCAAAAGAGAAACCAAGAGTCGAGGAGTTGACTTCATTTTAAACTCGTTAAGCGAGGATAAGTTGCATGCTTCCATTAGGTGTCTAGCACGAGGTGGACAACTTATGGAAATTGGCAAATATGACTTAGCTAATGACAATTCTTTCAATTCTTTGTTTATGGAAAGAGAAGCCATCTATCATGGTATATTTTTAGATGATGTTTTTAGGAATGTTAAGGAAATGAAGTCTAAAGTGGTAAAATACTTGAGAGAGGGAATAAAATCAGGTTTCGTAAAACCACTGCCTAGAATTGTGTTCAACGCGGACGAGATAGAGAAATCGTACAAACATATGTTGGCAGGCAAACACATTGGCAAAATCCTAATCAAGTTGCGAAATGAAAACAAAGATAAAAATATTCGTACTTGCAATATAAATAAATTAGAAATTATGTCAAATCCAAGGTAAATTATTAGTGAGAACATCATTCACTTCCGAATATTGTAATAAACAAAAATTTTAAATAAGTACATTAAAATTTCCTACCGTTATACGAGTATATACCGTGTACCAATTATTTTAAAACATAAACACAGTCTATTAAATAGACTGATTACTGGTATTATTTTTTTTAAGATTCCAATGTGGCAGCCATTACACTTATATCGTTATTGGAGGTCTTGGAGGATTTGGTTTAGAATTAAGCGATTGGTTGGTTCTGAGAGGTGCCAGAAAACTGGTACTGACTTCCAGATCGGGAATTCGAAATGGTTACCACCTACAAAGAATTAAGTAAAATACTTTCTCTTTTCGCAGTAAAGGTTTTATCTAACAATTTTAGTACTTGGATATCGTATGGTATTGAAGTCAAGGTCTCTACAGACGATGTGACAACCGAGGCAGGATGTGAAAATTTAATTAAAGAAGCAAGTGCACTGGGATTTGTTGATGGCATATTTAACTTAGCGGTTGTACTTAAAATCGCACTATTTGAAAATCAAAGCGAAGAAAATTTTCACGCCGCGCTAGAGCCGAAAGCTTACGCTACACTACACTTGGATCGAGTAAGCAGGAAATTATGTCCACAGCTAAGGTACTTCGTTGTATTTTCTTCTTTATCTTGTGGTCGTGGTCATGTAGGTCAAAGCAACTATGGTATGGCAAACTCTGTTATGGAAAGAATATGCGAAAATCGAAAGCGTGATGGATTACCAGCCGTAGCTATCCAATGGGGTGCAATCGGTGAAGTAGTTAACATAATTGTTTTTATTTTTTAAAACTGCAAGTACTTTAAAGGTTGGTTTGTTAGCGAGAATGTATGAAGAAAATGAAGAGTTAGTGATTGGTGGTACTCTCCAACAAAAAATTTCAAGTTGTCTTGAGGTATTAGATGTGCTGATAAAGCATGAATATCCAGTCGTTTCTAGTATGGTGGTAGCTGAAAAATATCACAAAAGCGACAATCTTACTGCAGTCGCAGCTGTTGCTCATGTTATTGGCATAAAAAATATGAAAACTATAAGTCAGTATACGACATTTCCAGAACTCGGTATGGACTCGATGATGAATACAGAAATTGTTCAACTTCTAGAGAAAGATTTTGAAATTTACGTAACATCTAAAGATGTGAAAAGTTTAACATTTGCAAGGCAGTTATTTTCTTATTAGGAAAATTTTCTTATTTATTTTTGAATTATTTTAGACTGACTGAAATGGAGGCAGAGAATAAATCTGGGGAAATTACTTGCAACAAAACGCAAGGAAATACAAATTTTCTCATTGAGCATATTCGCAACATCGTAAATAGTCAGCTTGCTGCTGTTAGATTGAAAAGTCAAGTGGGATTATCTGAAGAAGCTCCAACCGTTTTCGTGCTACCAGGAGTTGAAGGCCTCTTAAAACCACTAGAATATTTGACAAATTCGCTAAACGCACATGTAATTGGAGTACAATACAATTATAAAAATCCAGAAAAAAGCATTGAAGAAAGTGCGAAGAATGCGTTGCCGGTTTGTTAAAATTGCTATATTTTAATGCTACTCTATTCTATACGTCTTTAGCACATCGAGATTTATTTATCCAGAAGAATGCCCTTTTTCTTCATTGGATATTCATTTGGAACTTTGGTCGGCTTAGAAATTATTAGTTTGTTAGAAGAAAAGGGATATTTTGGTACCCTAATTTTAATCGACGGCTCACCAACATATATAAATTCTTTTGTAAAAAAATTGTTTACTCATGAAAAAGAAAAATCAGATTTCCATCCTGCATTTTTGAGTAAAATCTCTTTTATGATTCCTTTGGATCTACTTTCACAAAATGAGGTAGCTATTAATCGATTTATTTACATTTGTACGTCTATAGTTTGGATTAATTTATTTAGGAAACGTTGCTAAATTCCAAAGATTTAGAAAAAGGAATCGATTTACTTCTAGCTTTGATACCTTTGCAAATAAGTGACAAGTTTAAACTAGAAAAACAGGCAGCTATCACCATGTATCATCGTTTGAATGCTATATTTAATTATACATTTAAAAACAAGAAAATTAAATCTTCAGTACATTTGTTCAAAGCAAAATTTGCCATGGTTGATGACAGACCTGACTATCAATTATCAGAAATCAGCGAGAATTTAGCGCAAGTAACTACAATAGATGGTGACCACGTAACAATTTTAAACAACCGAGATCTTGTAGAAACTGTTAATGAGATTGTAAGGCTACAGTGATCATACAGCTTCCAATATACCTACTAAATATTTTCAGTCTCAGTTTTTTTGTTTCGACCTACCTTTAAATCAATTCTTAGATAAGCCGCTTTCTGTACAGTTAATTCTAAGCTATCTTTCTTTGCAAGCAAATGACCCGCTTTAGAACTGGGATAATTTTAATCGTTAATAGTTATTTAATAAACTAGTTTGTTAATGAAGGCGATTAATAATCGACACTGTTTAAAGCACGAACGAGCGTAGCGAGTGAGTGCCTTTACAAGTGGAGATTATTAATCGCCCATTAACAAACGAGTTCATTACAACATTTTTTCGTTGATCACAAACTTGCCCATTCTTGTGTGTTTTAATTTTGAACAGTTAACAAAGTTCCACAAACTTGCCCATTCTTGTGTGTTTTAATTTTGAACAGTTAACATAGTTATCATTGGAAAAAAAAATGACAAGCGAATCACAAACGTTGACATTCATTGTGTAAAAAGCGTTTGCCATTGCGGTTGTAAATTGTAAATTGAGAAATGGAACTAGAAAATAGTGATCTTCCGGCTGCAGTAATAGCAAGTGCGAACGATGCGTGTGGAAGTTTATTACCGGCTAAAAGTAAAGATCTCTACGAAAGAACATACTCTGAATTCTGCGATTGGTGTACCAAGCAACACGTAAACGATTACATTGAGCCCGTCTTGCTGGCGCATTTTGCCGAGATCGTACAAAAAGGATTAATTGCGAGCCTCTGGCCAAAATTTTCAATGTTGAAGTATACTCTACGTCTAAAAAAAAATATTGACGTTGGCAATTATCATAAATTGATAATGTACATTAAAAGACAAAGTGAAGGACATCTTCCAAAAAAATCAAAAATATTGGAGAAAGGGCAATTTATTATTGAAGCTCCAAATGATGTATTTTTAATGGCCAAGGTAAATTAAGACCAAGAACTTGAATTTGTACAAGCTAACAACTTTTATCGGTAGCACTCATTTTCGGGATCGCTGGAGCTTTAAGAAAGCATGAACTTCTAGAATTGCAAACCAACAATGTTGAAGATTTGAAATCAAAATTTTTAGTTACTATCCCTGGCTCCAGAACAAAAACAAAGGAAAAAAGAGTTTTTACCATTGTAGATGATGACCAAAGTATATTTTTAAAATTAATCAGACGGTATATAACACTGAGACCCAACCATACAAAACATACACATTCTTTGTACGCAACAGACACAATAAATGCACTACAAACCCTGTTGGTATCAACACATTTTCCAAAATTCCATGTACAGTTGCACAATTTTTAAAATTAGACCAGCCAAAACTCTATACGGGACATTCTTTCCGTAGATTATCAGCCACAATCTTATCTGACTCAGCGGCTGATTTTGCGGCAATAAAGAGGCACGGTGGGTGGAAATCAACAAGGGTTGCAGAGTCATACATAGAAGACAGTTCAAAATAAAGTTAATATTGCCAAGCAATTGTTTTGTAACGAGACAGCAACTTCTTCCACCACCCCCGAGACCTCTACACAATTGTTTTGCTCAGCCACTGCTAATTTTCCTTCTAATTCGCCAGCAGAAACAGAAATAAATAACTCGATAAATAACATAACTTCAAACACCTCCGAAAACGTTCAAATCAACATAAATCGTGACGTCAGCAACACAAAGAATTTATCTGTTCCTTTCGTAACCTTTAACAATTGTAGTTTTAATAGTTTTGTGATGAATATCCAAAAATAATTCTAATTATGTTATAACAATATTTCATTAATTGTAAAAGTTTCTTGTAAAATGAATAAAATTAAAAGAAAAATAAATCAGTATATCTGGTTGTCTAACATCATGACAGTTCACAACGTTTTAAAACCGTGAAAAAAACTAACTAAAAAAGAGTGCATTAATGAAAAAGAGATCGTTAATGACGTCCATTAACGCATCCTTTTTTCGGAAAAAAAATTCATTAATATTCACATTAATAAGTGGTCGACGAAAATAGATATTTACATAAAAGTCAGGAAAATGTCTCATTACTGAAGAGGAGCTATGTTGAAATACGAGGCACTTTGTGCCGAGTATTTTAAAGCTCCGAGTCAAATAAGACATTTTACTGACGAGTTTTGTATTAAATTTTTCCGGAAATCGCAATAAATCGCTAAAAATCGAGATTTTCCAACAAGTTTTTTAATTAATTGCGCAAAAATCTAGTTTGTCAATTTCTTGAAAACGATGGTTACAAACAAAACAATTATAAAATTTTGTGCGTACGTCAGAGCTGTGTGTTTATTTCATTAATTAATTATGAATACAAGCGAAAACACTGGTGAGGATGTTCCTTTTGACCTAAGCAAAGCAGCCGCTGCTGCTACAGAAGAATTGTTACCGTCGAAATCTAAGGAGCGGTATGAAAAGCAGTTCCAAATCTTTGAAGATTGGCGCAGGCTTAAAAATGTTACTTCGCTAACGGAAGACGTATTTCTGGCTTATTTTGCGGAAAAATCAAGTTCTTTTAAGGCTTCAAGCCTCTGGAGCACTTACTCTATGTTGAAAGCCGTGCTTTTGTTGAAGGAAAAGGTAATTGGATATCAGCAAGTTTTGTAAGGTAACTGCTTACCTAAAACGAAAATCGACTGGTTACCAACCAAAAAAATCGAAATGTTTGTCTCGGGACCAGATAGATAAATTTCTGCTTCAAGCTCCCGACAAGGAATTTTTATTAATGAAAGTAAGTTATTACAATGATTACATATTTAAGTTTTATTAAATTTGGTAATTTCAGGTGGCGCTTATTTTTGGGGTGTCTGGAGCCTGTCGATGCGACGAATTATCAAGGATGTTAGTTGACGACATTGAAGATCAAAATAACGTGCTAATAGTACACATTCCTGATTCTAAAACAAAAAAACCTCGACGCTTTGTAGTTGTTGATGAAAGAAATCTTGCTACATACAGACGTTATTTGGAATTACGTCCGCCTAGTACTCCACACAAGCGCTTATTTTTAAATTACAAGAAAGGGAAATGTACGGTCCAACCAGTGAGCTTGCATTCATTTGGTAAATTTCCTTCTCAAATTGCTACCTACCTTGGTCTACCAACACCTCTGGAATACACAGGACATGTATGTGGCGCAGTTCCGCGACTTTACTAGTAGACGCAGGAGGAGATATTACCAACTTAAAAAGGCATGGAGGATGGCAAAGCAGTTCAGTAGCAGAAGGATACATAGAAGAGTCCATCGAAAATAAATTAGATATAGCTAATAAAATACAAGCTGGTCCGAAAAAAAGACCCTTCACTAATATCGAGACGTGTCCCTCTACAAGTAGTGATTCATCTGAAATCTGTTGCACCGAAATCTCGACTGAAATTTTTGATAAAAAGGTTAAACTTGATCATAAATCTCTGTCTGAAATTAACATTGCAAATATATCGAATTCTACAATTAATGTTAATATCTGTAAATAGTGTAATTTACGAAATTTTGAATCAATTTTTCTTGTTTAAATAACTAATTATTTTGCGTCATTTTTGTAGTTTTTACAGTACTAGTCAGGGAAATCCAATTTTCCTGCGCCTAATGTCGCAAGGAAATGCTGTTTCAATGACGATTTCCGGAAAAAGTAATTAAATACATTGTTGTTATTGAAATTTGGTGCTGTAACCAAGCAAATTTTAGCGAGCCGAAAACCGGAGCTAACTGAATGTCAACTTCCTGTTTTACTTTTTCAGCCACTAAGACCATATTCCGTCGGAAAATATTCTTTAAATCTTGCAGGTCCGTGTTCATTTGGTTATTAAATGCTGCAATTATTTTTCATTTAGGCTGATGATTATGTCAACTTTTTGCTTATCTGTTTTTACATTAATTTTTTTCCTCTTGGCTCCATTTTTTTGTCTATTTACTTCTCCAGCGTAAGCGAAGGAACTATTGTATTGAGTCCAATAGGCCACTTGCCACTTCCATTTTTTTTTTGCGTTTCATGACTCCTATGTTTTGAGATTTGTGGGGCGTTGAATTATTGTCTTCTCGAAAGACTCGTGTTCGGATTTAAATAACTAATAGGCTTCGGATCTTAGGTTTTTTGCCTTTTTATATATACTTCAGGCATTGCAGTGAAATTTATATATTTATCCGAATTTAAAAAATTCTGTTTATTTAACGCCCATTTATTACTACCTAAAATGCCTAATTTGCCGTTAAAGACCTAAAGCGTTAATTAAACGACCTAATTGTAAATTTTAAAAGGCTTAAAATAGAATTCCACGACCAACGAAGCGGATGTGCTTGCACAATAGAGATTTTCCGTGAATTCATTGCTTTGGCTGGCAGATTGTTTAAAAATGGGTTGTAAACAACGCCCTTGAGTTTAATGGTACGGGTTGGTGTCACCAACTGACAACGCTGACCTGCATTTCATTTAGATTATAACCGGAAGGAGGTGAATCTCTAAAAAAGCATTTTATTTTAGAAGTTTATTGTTAGTGATATTGAGTGTCTTTGCGTGTTAGTGAGTGTGCTGGGGCCGGTTTTGATTTTTGTGCATACAGTAAAGAATGCTCAAAATGCCTAAGGTAAAATCATCCATGAAAGATAAAATCAAATTATGGTTAGGGAATAATTTGGACACTAATTTCCAATTTCCTTCTTCAACCAAAGACAATGAGTATTCTGCAAAGTATGTGGAAAATTTGTAAGTAAGTAAACACTTAAAATACTGAAGCTTGAATTATGTTCACATTTTTGTTTCCTAGTTTAAGTGCGAAAAAAAAATCACACTTTGAACAACACTGCAGTGGCGATGCACATAAAAAGAACGAGAATAAATCCAGTAAACAGACTTTATTAAGCATTCGTTCCGACAATGATTTTACGCAATTTTGCACCGATTTATGTAGGGTATTTACCAGGTGGTGCTTCGTACATGATCAAAACTGGATTTGAAAGTGTTTTATGAAAATATAACACCCTTAACATGTATGGCACATGGGTTACATTTAGTGTCTG